GGACGTCACTTTCCCAAACATCGAGGATGCCAAATTTCTCATTAGTAAATCATTTCCGAACATGGCTGACATAGAATTACACCATTTCCAAATCCAAGCGACAGTAAATGACAAACTGGACATTTTCATTACAACCTATCAAATGCACTGGCGCCGACTACATGGGGGCATCGGGGCAGGTGCACCCATGAGCAACCTCTCATGTATTACAAACGTGTTAAATGCTCATTCCGTTCCATGTGGTAATATCCAGTAACATGTGATTTAAATGTACACAACTTTGTATAAGAATTATACAAGTGGTATTAGTATTCTGTCCTTCATATATTTGTAGTCAGTTGTATGCTCTATTACTTTATGTTGCTATTCTCCATCTCTATTCTTTGTGATAATAATCGGGAAGTCCGGCCTACAACGGGAAGTCTGGCGCTATAGCGACTGTATGCCATAAAATTTGGTTTTGCGCGAGGGTAGGGATGGTAATGAATGATATATCGATGTTTTGTAGAAATCAAAATATTATGTGTGTGAGAAAGCTTCAGGGACTTGTTATCCTTTGGTACTGATCCTTATGTTATCCTTTTTACCTGGTCGATTACCCCTGTTTGTGTAGATAAAGTCGTCTATTTAGATCAGTGGTTCCCAAACTTTTTTATTTTGCGCCCCCCTTTCTGAAATCAAGAAGTGGTCGCGCCCCCCTTCCTTCCCCCATTATACAAAAACATTTTTTTTTTTACTTACTGTAACTCGTCTGAACTGCATGGACTTTACAAGAGGAAGAATGGACATGACAGTAGGCAACGAGCGTGCGCTGTAGCAATAGGGTACTTGCATGAAAAATTAAATTGATTATTTTTTATTGTGAATTAGGAAATCGAAAAAAATCGATGCGTGCTCGGATGCGTGTTTTTTTATTTTGTCTAAATATGATTATTTCGGAAGTTATACAAATATTAAGTTTTTTATATATAGATATACTGAGCATGTGCGACGTCACAACTCACAACGTATTGTACCTAAGTTATGACGTCGGAAGGACATTTCAAAGCGTTGTATCTCCGTCAATTTTTGACTAACAAGAAAAAGAAAAAACACGTGTTGACTTATTTTTCATGGACTATCGAAATCAGCAATAAAAAAATTTGATGCAAGGAGCCTATTACTTGTATTCCTTTTATACATCGAGTTACACCGAACGTGTCGCTCTAGAGCTCCTCGGAGTCACTCCAAAACACACAATTCAGAATGAAGCCTAGTACTCATAACTGCGAAATTCGCAATTTTTCCACATTGCTTTGACAATTTGACGTTTTATGCGTGTATCAAACGTCAAATTGTCGAAGCAATGTCAAAAAAAGCGAATTTCGCAGTTATGAGTACTAGGCTTAATTCAGATATTAGAGAGTTCTCGTGCTGTCCAAATTTCAAATACCGTAACGTTATTTGACAAGTATGACAGTTCTTACGGTAGTAGCGTTAGCGGAGCCGCCCGCTACCTAACGGGAGTTAGCGGATGCCTTACCGTAACGCTATGCTATGTCAAAATTAGTTTATGCTCCATTTACATCTGTAAGAACAGCAACTTCTAATAATTCCTCGATAAAAAACACCAAGGAAAAATTATTGAAACTCAGGAATCTTCAGGATAAATAAAAGTTGACAAAGAAGCAAAAAAAAGTTGGGTTAGATCACTCAATTCAGCTGTCAAAATGTAAACAGAATAAGGAATTAGAGGATTTTTGTGACTTCGTGCCCGAGAACTATAAAATACCATTTATTTACGACTAATGTATAATGTGCGTATTATATTTGTGATTTTGGCAGTATAATGACATATGTTATTCCTCCAGGGATTAATGACGAGTAGCGGGATTAATGGTCATTAATCCACAAAAGTGTCAGTGTCAAACATGTAGTGCTTGTGGATTTGTATTGAAAATTATGAGACGGATGAAATTTGTTCATTGAAAATCTCAAATAAATTAATTTGTCGTAGATAAAGTAGAGTATACTACTCGCAATAATGGCCATTATTCCCTCGGAATGTTACTCCCTCGCCGCTAACGCGGCTCAGTTCGTAATAATCCTCGGGAATAATAGCTATCATTATTGACTCGTGGTATAATCTACTATTAAAATACTGTATTGTTAGCGGTACCGTATTAACGTAGCGTCTGATGTACGAGAACTTTCTATTATCATTACACTTTAATATTAACATTACCTAAAAAAGCCCATTGCACCACCGCAAATTTGGTGCATCAGGGGAAAGGGGGATGCACTATGAGCGACTCGAGTGGTTTCACGCACTTTTAAAAGGAACGTTCACGCTTTTGACACTAAGCAGCTCCGAGTAACTCAATGGGTAAAAGGAATACAGTAAAGGGCCCCATACACTACGATGAAACACGACGGTTTTTATCGCCACGATGAAACACGTCGTTCCAAAACCGAAGTGTGTGGTAGAAAATCGTCGTGTTTTTCTACCACACACTTCGGTTTTGGAACGACTTGTTTCATCGTGGCGATAAAAACCGACGAGAAAGAACGTAGTGTATGGGGCCCATAACAGATCGCATGGCAAAGCTGCTTTGGCTTATGTATGCGCTGTTGCAGGATTGTAGACATCTTTTTTTAAATTTTAACTGAATTTTTATTTTAAAGCTTAAAATTATTTGTATTAATTGTTTAGAAGACTTACGCCCCCCTCAATGTTGCTTCACGCCCCCCCAGGGGGGCGCGCCCCCCAGTTTGGGAACCGCAGATTTAGATAGACCCTATGGCGTGAAGTGAGTGACCCTGTCTATGTTTTGATAATTTTTTTTTTTCAAGAATCTTCATTTTTATTCGAGACAATTAGGCAATCTATTCCAATATGGCGGTTCATGTCAAATTGTGGTGACGTTTATAAAAAAAGTATTTTTGCTCAGTGCCCTTATTGTTGTAGATGCCAAACATGACAATATGACAATGCCAATGTCAAACCTAAATGTCCAGAATGTGACAAAATAATAATTTTTCATTGATTTCTGTCAATAACCATGTAAACAACACGGTGAGTAGAGTGTTTTCACAACTATCAGACCACATACCCACCTCTACCACGTAAAACCCCCTCCAGCACAGCCATCAGCCATCATACCACTACCCACCTCCACTGCAAACCCCCTTCCGTGAAGCTCCTACCCTAAAATCCCCCCACTATGAGCCCCAAACAAGATGGCCGCCATAGCAATATAATGTGTCCATCATCGTTGCTATAATAACGGATTGGCCCGGGTCAAATTCTCAAAATTTCAGATTAAAATCCGTTATTATAGCTGCGTTGATGGACACATTATATTGCTATGGCGGCCATCTTGTTTGGGGCTCATAGTGGGGGGATTTTAGGGTAGGAGCTTCACGGAAGGAGGTTTGCAGTGGAGGTGGGTAGTGGTATGATGGCGGTGCTGGAGGGAGGTTTTACGTGGTAGAGGTGGGTATGTGGTCTGATAGCTGTGAAAACACTCGACTACGGTGTCTGACCTGACCTTCCATATTGAATTTCGTTTGGCAGGTCATGAGACTGCCTAATAATATTTATTTGTAACACATAATTATATACATCATAATTTACATAAATATTATATTAAGTTGATTGTAATGGCTGTATGCACTATGTGCAAAGCCAACCAAACCCCAAAAAATAAAAAATAATAATACCTAATAAACTATATCGATATATTTTAATCGATATTTTACATTCGATATATCGAAAAAAATATCGATATACCTAATAATCTTTTCGATGTATCGGTACTTTTATAATAATAGTTCATTAGTTGAGAGTGACAATCTGACAGTTGACAGAGGCGGCTAAAATGAAACCGGAGAAGTACTTTTCCGCACGCATTTCAGGACATGAAAGTACCAGGGTGACTTAACACTGCATAATTATTTTACTTTTCCGCACTAGTGCCTAAATGCGTGCAGAAAAAAGCACTTCTCGCACGCTCGTAGAAAAAATGTTTCGCCTCCGGCGGCGCCTACGGCGAGCTTCACCCTCCCCCTATAAACAAATTTATGAAGGTATTCTACACCCATGAGGACTTTCAAAAGTCGGCGCCTCTGATCAAATGTCCTCCGTGCATGCGCACTGGTCCAGGGGTGCGATTTTCGAAACCATTCGAGTAGATTTCGTACACGAAATTTGACTGACAGCAATGTAAATTGAATGGGGAGCAGTCAAATTTCGTGTACGAAATGTACTCGAATGGTTTCGAAAATCGCACCACAGGTAGGGCGTTTCATCCAATAGGAAAGCTGGGCTGGGACTCTGTAACGGATAGAGATCGTTATCCCTATCGCTATAGCACTTGCTGTCTTCTTCTCTCTATTCGAAATCAATAGAGAGGGGACGTCAATAGAAATAGACAAAATATCTCTATTCGTTATAAAGTTCCAGCCCTGGTGTTTGTTTATAATTTAGGTTATTTAATGTCATTTACTGCCGCTTGGATTTGGAAATGGTGTAGTCACAACCTATGACCTATTTTTGTCCTTTACTACTTCATAAGAAAAGGAAGGAAAGGTATAATTGGTGAACCCTTGCTACCTAGTAAAATGATCCTAAAATATTTCGGCATTTCTACATTTCTTATGTGGCAACTATATCGGCTTTAGCCAATAAGCGGCAAGTGAAAATAAACTATTCTGCGCAACGTTTTTTTTTTTTTTGGTCACACCACTTTTTGTGTTAACAGAGCCCCCCCCCCAAACCCAAATCCTGGATACGCCAATGGTTGAAGATGTTCGAAAACTTTATCACAGTGGACAATTCTGATCTTGTTGATTCCATAAATCGTATTAAAGTTTTATTATACTTAAAACTTGACCGGGCGTGTGAGTTTTAATTTTAAATTCGTTTCACAAAATATATCCTTTCCCAACTTGTACTTAATAAATGGCTATTTTATCAAATTGCTGCGACTTGTAGGAACCTATATATAAATCAAACTTACCGTTTTAGATTTTTGGACCAGCTGCAAAATACATGGAGTAACTTTTCCCCAAAAATCAAACAAAATATTCATGGTCACGTTGTATGTTTCCGTAACGGGTTGATGATGGCTTAAACTTTGCTCTAAATAAACAGTCCAAAGTTGGCATAAGATAAATGTATGAAATAGTGATGACATGTGTAGGACGCTAGCTTTAGGCTGGTCAGCAAAACCGGACATGATTACTTGGATATTGTCAGCTATTTGACAAGATGCTTCTTGAGGAATCGGCTGACTCAATAATGTTGAGGTATTTGATCCTTGCAATGCCGTATGTGTTAGAGAACCCAGAAGTAACCATGATAAGAGTCTTATGTGGCCTATGCATTCTACGAATTCTCTTGGACTGAAAGGGATATACATATTTAGTTAACGAATCAAAATCAGAATACTATTTATTACCTTTGTTGCGATACAGATGTGCTATATAACCAGGGAAAATATCGTGCAACTGCTCTGCTGTCTCTACTATTTCCCTTTGTAATTTCTAAAGCTAAATATTGAGCAACGCTACATTTTATTATACCACCTAGGGTATCATCATTTAAACCTACGCCTATGCCTTTACAATAACTCTGAAAAGATAAAATAATTGATTTCGAGGTATCTAAAATTTGTTCTGCACTCACTTTCATCTTTGATATCGTGTGAAAGTCTGATAAAAACTCTAAGATATCTACAAGGTTTAATTTCATACATTCAGATATGCCGGTGCTGCAGAAAGATGAGGTTTCGAATGAGAGTAAATTGCTTTCTTTTATCACAACGTTTGAGGGAATATGCCCACCAACATCCTACAAAAACACACGTAATAATTTAATGTTTTCATTTCAGCTATATTTTATACCTGTAAAATTAAATTTATCAGCATCAACAAGTTAGAATCGGGAATGGTTGTTTTGAATTTTAAAACTTGCACTAGCTCAATAACCACCATTCTACTAAATATTAATCTATCCCTATCCTTGGTGAAAGCTTTGTTACAAAGATAACATATTTCTACCAATAGATTATATTGTAATGTGTGCGTTTGGATTGCATAACTAAGCACCTTTGAGAATGGTTCTAGAATACCCTAAAAAAATAAGAATAATAATTAATTAGGTAGGTACGAGAGTAATGATATTATTATTATTTATTCAGGTCCACAAAACATTGCAAAACTAACTAACATCAATTTTCACAAAAAAGTTCTTTCTTTGAAATCTTCCAAATTGATATTTTAAAAACAAGACCTTAGTATATGTACGACCACTTTTATGATTTATGTGATTTTATACTATCTCCAATGGTCACTGCTGATAGTCCGTATGGATTTTTAGCTTCCTAGATATAGGAAGCTATGGTGATAGCCCGATTTTGAACATGTCAAAATTTCATTAAATCTTGACGTTTTGGATCATTTTAAGCCTTTTTGGCAAGGTGGCACATTTCCGTCTGTGTGTATGTATGTGTGTGTGTGTGTGTTGGCATTTTTCTGAGAAAACGGCTCGATGGAATTTGATGAAATTTTGGAAATAGGTATAAGAAGACGTGTAGGGAAAAGTTACGGAGAGAAAAAAAAAAAAAAAAAATTAAGATTAAAAAAAAAAAATCTCAATAGGTTTCATTAGGACATTTTTGAAAAAATTAAGTATAAATTTGATGATAAGCTAAGCAGCGTCGACCACTTAAAAATTTACACGACGTTGCTTTTTTTGAGATTATAGCGTTTTAGGGTGCTTATTGAAGATTTAATACGCCGGCTTGAGGTCCCTTTCCAGCAAAACACTTTATGCCTTTATGGGGGTAAACTTACAAAAGGACCTTTAGGGTTTTTCACTTATAATAATAAAAATAATAATAATAATAATTATTATTAATAATGAAATAATGACAGCGAATATTCTCCCATGTTAATCGTATATATGGTTGGGCATGCTAATTTTTGATACAAACGTTTGCTGACGCTAGCAACTATTTATTTGTATCAATACAAACAAATATGGACGCTGTTAGCAACATATTTTTTGCATTTTCATTTTTTATTCGTGAAATAATCCTTTAAGTAAATACCAATCAAGCTTTAAAATGATCAAAATGGACCAGATAATTTTTCACTCATGCGTGTTTTCTTTGCAAATTTCACTCGTCCTAAGGACTCGTGGACTCGGGAAATTATAGAAAACACGCAATCGTGAAAAATTATCCGTAATTTTGAAGCTCTCGTGGTATTATGTGGTAGGTATTAACGCCGAAAAATGATATTAAAACCTGAAAAAATGTCAAGATTTATCAAAATGAATTCATGGTTCGAAATGACAATTAATGACAATGACAATCATTAATTAGGTAGTTATTTGTCTAGGAAGCGTTATGTCAAAAATTTGACATCTGGTTTTTTTTGAATTGAGGAAATTTGGAACTCGGAATGCCAGAGATGCAGACGTTGCAGTGTAACCGATAGACAAATGAAAAATCAATCAAGAAGGAGAAAAAGAAGAAGAGTGTGCCATATCGTGATAAGGTCCTACTTTTTAGAAATTTTGTTAGCTCTGTTACTGTGACTAGCCAGAGGTTTATTGCAATAGTTAGACCGGTGTGAAATTAGCCTCTTAAGATAGCTTCCAAAACTTCCGGAAACTGCCGAACGGCCAGTGGCGTCGGAAATATAGGAAAATATATTCTAAAATCTGCTTGTACTGACAAATTCATATTTTCGGGACAAATTGTGACAAGTATTTGCTCTTTTTCACCCTAACACCAGATTCCAATAGGCCGTAAGAGGGTGTCAAAATATATAGAGTTGAAGATATAAAAAGACACATATCTCAAAATCTGCTCGTGATGACAGATTCCTGAAAATATGAATCTGTCAGCACGAGCAGATTTTGAGATATGATTTTTTTGATATCTTCACCCCTATTTTGACACCCTCTGACGGCCCATCGAGATCTGATGTTAGGGTGAAATAATAGCAAATGCTTGTCCAAATTTATCCTGAAAATATGAATCTGTCAGCACGAGCAGATTTTGAGATATGATTTTTTTGATATCTTCACCCCTATTTTGACACCCTCTGACGGCCCATCGGGATCTGATGTTAGAGTGAGAAAATAGCAAATGCTTGTCCAAATTTATCCTGAAAATATGAATCTGTCAGCACGAGCAGATTTTGAGATATGATTTTTTTGATATCTTCACCCTTATTTCGACACCCAATGACGGCCTATCGGGATCTGATGTTAGGGTGAAAAAATAGCAAATGCTTGTCCAAATTTATCCTGAAAATATGAATCTGTCAGCACGAGCAGATTTTGAGATATGATTTTTTTTATATTTTCACCCCTATTTTAATACTTTCTGACGGCCTATCGGGATCTGGTGTTAGGATGAAAAGATTGCAAATGCTTGTCGTAATTTGTCCTGGAAATATGAATCTGTCAGCACGAGCAGATTTCGAGATATGTTTCTTTTTATATCTTCAACTCTATATATTTTGGCATCCTCTTACGGCCTATTGGAATCTGGTGTTAGGGTGAAAAAGAGCAAATGCTTGTCACAATTTGTCCCTAAAATATGAATTTGTCAGTACAAGCAGATTTTAGAATATATTTTCCTATATTTCCGACGCCACTGGCCGTTCGGCAGTTTCCGGAAGTTTTGGAGGCTATCTTAAGAGGCTAATTTCACACCGGTAATAGTTAGTCATTTTTTCAATCTAAAACTTTCCTGGGTACTACTGGGTAGTACGACATCATTGTGGTTTGAAAATATGCTTGAAGTGACAATATTTTAGTTTAGCGATATCTGTTTTATTAGAAAATAAAATAATAGACAAAGAGCAAACTGAACTGATTCGGGGCCTTTCGAATTTCTATTGAACGGCCAATCATATACAGTTTTGTCCAATAAGAATGTGCGCAAGTTTACGTAGCTGATATTTATACTTTATTAGGGTACCTTTATTATATTGGATATATGAGGGCAATTGTGTTGAAAATATCCAATCCATAATAAAGTAGCTCTAATAATCGTCGTAGGCTAATGGTTGTATAAACGTTTGGTATTATAGATGGTCTTTCACATGGACATGTGAAACTAGTGACTTGAATGGTTTTGTAACACCAAATGCATTATTTGCTCAATAATTTTGTCACCAGGAGTGAAAAATTCTATTAGCTGAAGCTATGGGGAACGGAATACAAGATCAAACAAAGGCAATAAGTCTTGTATAATATAATCCTGTCTTGTTCTGATTTCGTTTCTGCCTACAAGATTTGGTTTTTACACCTTTCCTGCTGGATTGTCTTGAATTGGGAGTATTACCAATATCTTACCTTAAATTGTGTTATTAAAGGCAACTTGAAAATAGAGGCCATTATATTTAGTAATGGTGTAACGTCATCTAAAGTGTTTAACATAAACAGTAGTTTTCGATAAATAATTTCAAGTTGCTGCAGTACCGTACTCCACATAGGTGTTGTGGGACCTAAAGCACTTTCCAATGGCAGACAACTTAGATAAGCTGCCATATTCGATAAAATAGTCGGCATCATATCAGTCGGCAATGTTTTCTTGAAATTAAGGGTTTCTAGAAGTAATTGCAACGGTGCCACTGGATTTAATTCGTTAAAATCTATTAATGCTTGAATAACACTTTTAAAAAAATGCAGTCTTATGTGATCTAAAAGATAAAATGTAATGTTAACGTAATTGCACTAAATTAAAATGTCATAATTAGTTTACCTGATGCTTTTGTTTGAAACATCTGAATAAAAATTCCGTTCGGTGCAAGCTGGTGCAAAACACATCTCAAAAATTGATGCGCTACACTGACTGCTCCTCCGGGAAGATGAACACTACTTTCGCATTGCCATGGATAAAAAGCGTTGGTGGCAATTCTAAAAAAAAAAGGGGAATCAAAATAAGCCAGACGTTTCTCAGATTACGTATGCTCAACCCTTTTGTTTTTCGATTTTATCTACTTTAATTTTGGTAGCAGGTACGTTTCATAAATTTACAATTTCTTGCATTCTAACCCAGTTCACACTACTTCTGTTTCGGGCAGAAAAGACAGGATAACAGTGAAGAGTTGAGCTCTTTCGGTCAACATCAGGAAAAATAAAAAAATGACTTTACCGTAACAGAAAGGATGCGAAAGCTGATGTGGGGTATCTGGTGAGAAAAAAGGGACATTTTGTCAACGACTTTAGTAAATACCACTCTGTACATCAATTTCACTGAAGTGTGTCGACGAGTCAGCATTGATTTGGTATAAATACCGCGCCGAGATCCATTATCGGCAGACTCAGGCTAGTACAAAATATCTCAATTGGGAAATGCCCCTCTAGCTAAATCTCCTTCCAGTGCAAACTGCCTTTATTGGAAAACGCCCTTCTGGGAGTATTGAACGCAGCAGACTAGGTCCAGTGCAAACTTCCTTATCTGGGAAACGCCCTTCTGGACCTGTTTCAAACCCAGCTTCAGTCTTCAGTCGCGCCAAGTGTACAATGTATATAACACAGAGTGGCCTAAGTAGTACGTCCCTCCGTAGAAGAAACGTCATGCATGGTATTATTCCTAGGGTAATATTATTTTATATATATTCAATACATATCTCATTGTACCTATACCAAGCAAGTTTCTCTCTACCTGAACCCCACCCATGCCCCCAGGTCACGCTGTTGTTGTGACGTCCCAGGACGAAACCTAATGGGGTTTTGACAATATTCTACTATGAATTGCTTCTGAGGAATACCACCAGCTCCATCGTCTCGAGGTCTCGAGGCCGAAATTCTGCAAAAGATACCAGAAATACCTCATCGAGTGATTTTGCTTCATAATATCTCTCGATCTAATACTGCTGAAATCACAAAAGCGGCTATCCATGAGCTCGATTGGGAAGTTATTTCACATCCACCTCATTCTGGAATCCTGCACCATCAAATGTTCACCTTTTCCGATGCCTATCGAACTACTTTGGCCTTCGTATCAGCGGATTTCTTTAAGCGTGGAATAGAAAATTTGGATGATCGCTTGGCAACAAAAATCGTGTTTCAATGTTTCAACACATCAGGGTTTACCGCATAGCTTCCTCGCAGTACCTATCATATCCTGAACTAAAACTAAATAGTCATTGCTCAACAAAATAACCCTGAATAATTTTTAAATGAAAACAAAATGAAGATGCAGCAAATAATAATAAGGAAAGAAAATTGCCTTCTGGAGAAAGTAGATAATGTTGAATACAAACGCTGGCAAAACGATAGAACTGAAAAGTAAGACCTGCACAAAACCGAAAGAAGAAAATGAATTTGCAGAGTGCATCGCTAAAACCATTAAAAAAAAAACAACGAACGGCATCCATAAGTTAAATGACGCCCCAGCGAAAAAGAGCCACAAAATCATTGCATAAACAGCAGCAAAAATACAATAAAGAAAAACTCTTATCAAAGACAAAAACGCAAACCGAGAGACTTTAAAAAAAACTGGATAAAGACATTCCTAAGGCCATTAAAAGAGACATAGGAAAATATATAAACAATATAATAATACATTAGGTACTACAAGAAATCGAGTAAAACAAAATATGAAGGTAATGAGAAGGAAACTTGCCATTGGGAAAGAAGAAATTACCAATCTCAAAGGCGAAACTATAGACAAAAGATACTTTGTTTCGCGGAAGTGAAAGCAATAGCGGTGAATCAGGGTTCAGGCGACATTTTTGTAGAGGAGATTCACAATTCGCTTGAAAAGATGATGAGCCACACGACTCCAAGTGAAGACGGTATAACAAAAGGGACAATAAAAATGGGCGGCAAAGTAATAATCAATTAGGAATCCTCAAAAACTTTTTTACCTGTGCATCCACAATCAAAACATTCAATCAATCATGATCTTTTTAGAGATGGCTCCATTTGTGCTACTGTGCATTTGTGCTAATCCGCAAATGGTCTACTCACGAACGCGATCGGCTATGATCGGGATCAGTTAACATGATCGCGGAGGAGTACCAAGAGTAGTTGAAGCTTATGAAGGTTTTGTGTACGCGGCGGGCGCGCGGAACATCTGGTGTAATCAGCTGATAATAATAAAAATAAATTAAAAAATGTATTTGTATTTAGTGAATGATTGTGGACTTTATTTTTATTAACTACAGTCTACAGTAGAGTTAAGATTTTAGAAATATATAATATACTTATTTATTAAAGCGTAGAGTCCTTGTAGAGTTTATACAGACGTGTAAAATTATTTATAAATGTAAAGTCAATAATACATATACCTATCAAAGTATCTCCCCAGATTTAAAATCATATGGGGTTGTATTATTTATTGATTTCCCAGAATATTAGGTCAATAAACCTAGCAGTCCCATATGGAAAAAAACGAAGGGATTGCTAGGTTAATATGAAATATAGCAGTCCCCTGTAGTGAAAAATATTTTTTTAAATTTTTCTTTGGTATCAGAATTTAGATAATATGCTTTTTAAAGTTCTCCTAAATACCTAGTCAAAGAAAAAATTGAATCAGTTAATTATTAACTGAATTACAGATTTTTTTTCAATATTAGGAAATTCCTGGATTCACGTTTACTTATTGGGGGTGTGTTAGAGGCTTACAGCCAATTTCATAATCAACTTAAAGTAAACTTTAAATATAAAGGTCCATTTGAAGTAGAAAAATCCCATCCTAAAAGTCTATTTAGCTAAAGTAACTTTTAATTCTCTATCATGAAATTGGCCGTTAAACCGTTAAAGGCTGAAATGTTTTTGGATTGAATTTAGGTACCTACTATTTAAGTGCTCCTAAATTGTCAAAGAAACACTTGAATCTGTTAATTATTAACTGAATTACAGTTTTTTTTCATTATTGGCAAATTATTGGCTTCACGTTCAGTTGGTGGTGTGTCAGAGCTAAAATGTTTATGGATAGGAATTAGTGCTATTTAAGTGCTTCTCAATATTTGAAGAAAAACTTGAATCAGTTAATTATTAAACTGAAGTACAAATTTTTTTTTCATTAAGGAATTGCTGGCTTTACATTTACTTGGGGATGTATTTGCATTGCAGCGAATCTGAAAACTGCGACTAAAATGTTGTATTGGAATTTGGTGCTATTTAAGTGCTCCCAAAAAGTTGAAGTTTTAGATAGTTCAAGTTTTTCTTCGACTATTCAGGAGCACTAAGATAGCACCTAATTCCAATTATTACAACATTATAGCCACTGTTATCAGTGTTATCAGTTTCGCTGCAAATATTTACACCCCCAAGTAAACGTAAGGCCAGTAGTTCAGTTCCCTATAATAATACAAAAAAAATCTATAATTCAAATAATATAACTAATTCATGTTTTTCTTTGACTATTTAGGAGCACTTGAGCACCTAAGTCCTATCCAGAAAAAAATTAGCTTTTAACCACCAACTAGTTAAACGTGAAGCCAACAATTTCCATTTCCTAATAATGAGAAAAAATCTCTATTTAGTTTAATGATTAACTGATCAAATTTTTTTTGACTATTTGGAAACACTTGCATAGCAAGAATCATAAACTATAGGATTGCTTTTCCTTATAAGGCGTACGTTCGCCAATTCTCGAGTCGGCAAGGCCTGCGAGTGACGTTAGTACTATTAGCAGCATAGCCTCTTATAGTGGTGACGTCACCCGCAAGCCTCGATGGGATGCTTGCGATTCAGGTTGTGCTTGTTTCTTCATCGATTTTAAATGTAGAAAAGGTGATTCCTGGTAATGAAAAAAATCTGAATGACTGTTCTTCTTCGACTATTTAGGAGCACTTGGATAGCTTATTTGCTAATTCCTATCCAGAAACTAGCTTCTGCACACAGTGGCTTTACACTCGGTAAACTCCGAGCAGTCCGAGCGCGCTCGAAACATTAAGATAGCGAAAATAGAATTCAACTTCTGGAATCTCTTTCTCAGTGAAAATGTTCTATCTTTGATTGTTGAGTACCCGAATCAATACATAGAAATTGTAAAACCGAAATTCATCAGATGGTTCAATTTTTTTATCAATGATTTAGTATATGTATCTCTGTGATACAGCGTGACTAATGATGTTATAAAACTCGCGATGGAAGGTTAAAATAAATTAATATTTAACCAATAAAATATTAAAAGTTAAAATTTTCCATTTTTAAAGTAAACAAAACACCACACCCACTCAATACTTGAAAAATATCGAAATAGAATTCTATTTTCTATTTTAAATACCCGCCAGATGGAGAGGGAACGGCAACGCTGTACCCATTTGCGCTACAACAACTGCATTCGTTTCGATGAGGGTCATACTCCGGTCGGACTTCGGCTCGTCCGACGTTCCCGCCCGAAGGCGACTTCGGGTGGGTAGAGCAAATGAACATTAGCACAAATGGGGTGATCCCTCTTTTTACACAAGAAAGAGGATAAAGCAGATCTTGAGAATTACAGTGACTTATACAGAAGAGAAGTTATAGACTGACATATAAAAGTGCAGTATACAATTTCAGGCAAATTTTGTTTCTTGGAATTGCACTTGCAAGTTGTTTCCAACAAAGCAGGTTCTATATCTATGCGGGAATTTGTCCAGAGTGGGTTAGTTTAGTAGGTAGGTATATACCTACCTAAATATGCAGATTTTAGATAGGTATCTGATATGCAAATCTCACTCATTTGGGTCGAAGTTTTCAATATCACTCAATTTCCTATGGATTTAATATACTTAGACTTACTTGGCTATTATACTTAAAATATCAGGCAGTAAAGGAGCAGCTAAACTAGGTTCTCGATGAATAAATGTTCCCAAGGCTACAATACAAAGACCAACTTCTTCGTCACTGTATGTTTCCCTTGCTGTACCACATTCGGAGCATCTTTCCTTAACAGACTCGTCTCCTATCCTGTACGAGCTCTGTTTGGAATCACAATTTGCTGCAGGAAAAATATATATTAAGAATCAAGTGAAATGGTGATTTATTTAGCATAAATATAGTAATATATATATATATTTTAAAAAGTTTTGGTTTTGTCAGCCTACGATTATTTCAAACAGTTAAAGCTAGTACACGCAAAACTTGTAGGTGAATAGTGCATTTTGTAAACACATGCTAAATTCGGCCGTTCGTCGAACTGAATACTCATAATATGAGCCAAGTCAAATACATATTCGACAATAATTATCAAAGCTTCACGCATCCTGCGAACTGAGTGATTTGCTTTAAAAGTACGCAATAGGTAGCTGTCTTTTTTCGTAACGTAATTCAGTCTTCTATATCCATATAGGTCCTCGTGGAAGCATACTTTTTGGGAACTATTATTACTGACTATGGAACAAGGACTATGATATTTTTATGAGAAGCCTTTCTTAAGCATAACTTGCCGTTGCTTGGGGCACGTCCCGAGGTAACGTGATCACAGAGATATCAGCCCCTTCTTTGCTGGTGTAAATCATTGCCGCTCTTTTCGAAATTCTCCATAACTTCTAGAGATGATTTTATTCTATTCGACTCCTAGGTACTCATGTCTGTCACATCTCTACTCGAATACCTGGTGTACCTATACCGATTACCTACTCTACCCAGGAAAAACTTTGTTGACTAAAAAGTAGATTTTCCATTCTCTCGATGTCACTTCTTAAGTCCTGCGGCGGTCTGTCGCTACATCCTGCTTTTTAACCTCTATACACTTGGCTAAGGAAACCTGTTTCAGTACCTTAGCTCTAAGACGAGCCCTCTTTTACCCGTATTCAATCCGCCCGCCGCTACTGAAATGAACGAATGAATGAATAAATTAATTGAGGGTATTGTTATACTGCGACCTGCATATATCTTTGGCGTCCCCCTTCTGGGTGCTTCAATTGACAGGATCCTCACTCAAAGCACCTCATCCAGTTTCAAAACTTTTATAAATGCAACTATGCTGGAAATTCCATTCATAGAGGATAGAATTTCTTCCCGATGAACGGTGCAGCATCTGAAGCAGGCCATTTGTATGTTCACGATCGCTTCGCAATCCGTGAGAAGGTGTTCTGAAATTTCCTCTCCTTCCTCACAAAACCGACAGCTGTCCTCGTTTTCGATTTTAATTCTCTCAAGGTGCCCTCTTAACCGGCAGTGGCCTGTAAGAAATCCAGTGAGATAGCGAAGATTTTTTTCACTCACTTTTGACTTTCTTGGTGAAGGGGCCCGAGAAACATCTTTGATTACCTTAACCCTGGAAGTTGTTCCCAGAGGCTTATCCATTTGGTCTGCAATTCCCTTCTAAACGCTTCCTTATAGGTGTGCGTCCTTATGCCACAGAAAGGCTCTGGTCCTGAAAGCGGAGTTTGTGCTTCCAATTTCGCCAATTGGCCCGCTTTCGCATTCCCTTCGATCCCTGCGTGTCCCGGTATCCACCAGAGCGATAGTTTGGTATTTTTACCCAGTTTGTTTAACGTGTCCAGGCATCCACAACCATTCTGGAGCTGATTATTGGTGAGCTCAGCGCTTCACTGGCTGCCTGACTGTCTGAGAATATGACAATTTCACTCTTTTTGTAGTGGCTGTCAGAATTGAACTAAGCACATGTACTTATAGCGTTTATTTCCGCCTGAAATATTTCTGGGATTTTTCCCATTGCTTCGGAGAACTTATGCCAGGCCCAAGTCCCCCGGCTCCGCGCGGTCACTTGTTCAATTCTTGACCCATCGATATACGATTTTATGGCGTTCTGCTGCATTGTAAGAATGAATGTGGTGTTTCCTTTCCATTCTTCTCTGCTTCTTATCACTACTGTGAAGCGTTTCTCAAAATTATATGTTTTGATCATATTATCCCTAGGCAGCTCGAGAAGCGGGATAAGCGATGCTCCTTCCGAGCCAACCTCCCTCGCTAGCTCCCTCCCTCGTGATTCTAGTTATTGCTCATCTAGAGCCTCCTCCACCACGATGTGAAGAGGTGCGAGACTCAATTTTCTCGATGGCTGCTGTGGGACAACTTTTAATTGCGGCCGTAATCCATGTGCATGCTAGGCGCTGTAGTTTGTTGAGAGCTGTTCTGCTTCTCAACTTCCTTGAACCAGACTATCGCCGTTGCTTGTGTCCATATAAATTCTCGCCATTCAATTTCTGAGTGTTTTATATTCCTCGAATTCTTCGCGGCCCGTCCAGATTTAGCCACTGACTCTAGAACTACCCGGCGATTTCTGTCTTTGTTCTTCCTTCTGCTCAGGGCCGTAGCTAGAGTCAAATTCGTGATAGGGCATGACAAATTTGACATAGGGCATACACTACTCCCCCCCCCCCCCGCTTTAAATTATTTATAGGTAAACAAAACACACTAAGTACCTAGAACTACAGGATAGGATAGCTTATCCTAATAAGAGCCAAATTATGGGCTGACTGGTAAACGTCTGGTTGTTACCTAGCAGGTACTTTGTTTTCTATGCTCTAGATAATAGAAAGTACCTGCTAGGTAACAATCAGACACTTACCAGTTGGTCCATAATTTGGCCCTAAGGCCTGTGTAAATCAAATCTCAAGCTCCCCACCACGCCAAAAAACCAGTGATGATGTAGGCAGCGTGTCGTTTCTCGCCTTGACGTTGGGTGTTTGCACCACAGGTTATGATTCCGCGCTTTTGCTTTATGCATACTTGGTTCTAGTACATTAATTGATATTATCAAAATTAAATAACATTTTTCATCATAAATGTATGTTCTAAACTACGACCGCTGGCGCAAACAGCTGACTACGTAGTTGATGATACCATCAATCGTGCTACACCATATGACCGAGATTTCCACAAACCAGGCCGAATAAGCAATTCTGTGTGTAGTGCCTAGTGTGTATTCTCCTTGCATTCGCACGATATTCGCACTCTATCGAAATGAAAAACTTCCCCTGTGTAAACGTCAAACGTCAAACATTGTTGCATACATTTAGTCGTTTTCGGAAACACTTATCCTCGCACTTACTCGATTTCAGGCCTATTTATTATCTACTCCTAAATTTCCTAGAGCAACCTTAATGGATGTTGTGTTTAAAGGTAGGGCATGATCATTTGAAAGATAGGGCATTGCCCCCCAATGCCCCCCCCCCCCCCTGGCTACGGCCCTGCTTCTGCTTCTGGTCCTTCTTTCTTCGTCCATGCAAACTTTTCTGGAGTCGGTCTTGTTTTTTCGTCTGACGTTTCTGTTCTTTAATCACCTGTCTACTTGTTTTTGCTTTTCTTGTTACCTTATTTTCTCTTCCGAAATGTTCAATAAAGGAAGCACCTGGTTTATTTTATCTAGCATTTCGGCGTTCTAGTTACCGTGGGTGTCTTCACTTACTTATCCAACTTCTGACACCACATGTTCCGTATGCGTGTTCGCAAATGAGCATTTAAAACATTAACAGAAAAATAACGACAATTCTAAAATTATCATAACATTCATAACACTTCGTATCAATCGAATTAGACTTGACTGTTCACAAAACGCTTCACAATCATATAACTCTGTCTTAGTAATAATTATCACTCTGCACTATATTTGAACTCACTTTCTCTGACTTAACCGACTCCTTTACATACTTCGAGTAAGTTTCTAGATACTTTCCTTCCAGGAATTTCCGATTAACATAAATTCTAGAAATTTCAATAATTGCGTTTTTTTTTACATAATTCCATCATCGGAAGTCAAGTTCAATGGAGATCTTTTTTTTTTGAACACCAGAAATAATTTATTTATAAAATTAGATATACTCACTATCAGTCTTACGATATGTTATTTGTGAGTTAGTCATCCATCCTCCTGGGAGTTTTGGCTTCTGTTGGTGTTGAGAATTTGGTGTTAAAGGACACGTTTTCCTTATCCTTTGTCTATGATTGACAATTGCATCTCCTGAAAACAATTTAAAATATAAGTTTTTTTTTAAAATTTATAAATAGTAATAGGTACGCACTTTGACTCTCAACTTTAATAGTATTCAAGTAACTATCCAATCCGTTTCCGTTATCATCGGATTCGTATAAATTTGGAGGACTTTCCAGTGCAACTTGTTTGATTAGTTTCCTAGGACTGTGGGTCTGTGACGTACTGGGTTGTTCAAAAATATTATTTTCTTGTATTTCTGTTTTTTTCGAAATTTTTGAATTAATATTTAGTGCCTGCTTAACTTTTTCCACTAAGTGCGATATATCTTTCGTATGTTGTCCTATCGGCAATAGTCGCTCTTGTGTTGGTATTTCTAAATGAGGCTCTAATGGTGAAAATACATCATCTAGATCTGAAAATGTTTTGTTAAAATTGAGAGAAATAGAAATTAAAGATGGAGATTACCAGGTGATTTAATTGGTCCAATAGGTAAAAGCCGTTCTATACTTGGCGTTGGAAGATGATTGTTTTTGTTATTATCATAATCGAAAACAGAAGTAGATGAAGCAGTTACGCTAGGCTCTATAAGTTTTTTATGCATCCCTATTCGACTCGGCCTAGACATTTGAAATGAATCTATTTGCTTGCGAGATGAGTTTGATATATGTTTCACTGACTGTATGCTGGACCCTAAAATCAAATTTAGATGTTCATTGACAAATTATTTTCATCCTGATGTATCTGAAACAAAGACGTAGACTAAATAAATCTCTACATTTGTTCTGGAATTAACCTCATGAGATATTATGTTGAAGGTGAACTTGTTTACGAAATTTCTGAAGCTGCTACAGTCATAATGGGTGATTGGTCGAACTATCTATGAAAAATGACATGACTTATGACTTATTTGCTATGTTTTGCGGCCAATCATACCTTGTATTTTGAGTTACGTGATTAGGTATTTGGATACGGAGCCGCGATTCTTCACTAAGTCGTGTACCTAGGTGAAATATTTTATATTTTTTTAATATCTTGATATTATACATGTCACATGTCAAATTTATGTATTTTTATACATTGAACTAGGAGTTTTCTGTATTTCTATGGTGACACTGTCGCTTGTTGAACAGGCAGTTATTCATTACCCATTAACTTCCAATAAACGAGAATTTTATCCATAAATATATAGTGAAATTTTAATAAATTATATCAATAAAAGTTGAAAAAGTATTCTCCGTGGGAGCGCTGCTATAATTAGCTTATTTCTTGGATAAAAACAAAATTACTTTAAAAATATTAAAATTTAGTACAAATATCATTTTTCTTACCATAAGTTAAATTAATTGACCCACTACTAGAGTTAGATTTTATTCTAGCACAGTTTTTGTTCAGTTCCATCTTTGCTTTGGCCAGCTCTTGCATTTTGTGGTCACAAGATCGTATTGACTCATCTTCGCTACCTATTATCCATACTGGTCGCCCTTTATTGGAGCAAATTCTTTTAATTTCGCTTAAGCTTGAAACACTTTCTTTTGGAGATCTAGTTACTATCGCTTTTTCTGTTACCTGCTTCATTATTCCAGAATTCTCACTCAAAGCTAAAACTGCAATATCATAGCTTAAAATAGCCATTAAATTGCTAATTTACCTTCTTCAAATGAATCCTGTCCACTTCCCTGCAAAGTACTGTCAGAAATATCACTTTCAGGAATTGCTAATAATTCACTTTCAGTGTCATCATCTATGCTCGTTTTATCTCCTTGCTTTCTAAAAGATTTTTCCCATTTCTCATCCGAATGCTTCTCATTTTGATTAGTTTCTTCCCAGTGCGTCTCCATGCCAGTCATGGATAATGGTTTCGTATACGAGACTTGTACTTTTCCGCCTTTGGAACTTAATGAAACTTGAATTGATTGTCCGTCAGATGAATACATGGGAGATAAAGGTGGCGTTGTTCGTTCTGGGTGATCCATTTCTGTACCTAATGATGGTTGGCTTACGTCTGAAAACAAATATTAGGAGAAATTTTATGTTCAAAAGAAACATGAAATAAATTAGATTTTCCCAGCTCAATCTAAGGCTAACCGACTAACATTCCAGAATAAAGAAGTATTCTGACTTTCGCTCCATCAAGCTTCACTGCACCCCACTTAAGTGTGCCGCAAAATGCTTACTCGAAAGGTAAACATATATTCGAGGCCATATATTGGCCAAACTTGAGTTTTTTTTAGTCAGTCATTACTGTCTGTGTTATGCGGCAGTTTTTATAAGCTTTGTTCCCACACAGCAGGAAACCGTACAATGTACCATCACGATTCTGCGCAGAACCTAAAATTTTTGCGTATAATCCTAAACTCGTATACTGAGTGGTTTCGTTTATGCGGGACGATTTTTTGAGGTGTTGGAACAGACCTATAGTCTTTATCTGGTGAGTTTATTATGTATACTATATACCTACAAAAACAAAACCGTCGATTTTCTTGAAACTATTTTCATGTAAATAAAATAGGCCTAATTATTCTGGTGGCGTCCCGAACCCTTTGCTACGATAAAATACTACGTGAATGTCCACATTACTGGAAAATTTCCATATTTTCCAGAACTTCGTGTAGGTGTTATCAGTAATGTTACATTTTTATAAATTTCAGTTAAGGAGCGAGAATACATTTTTTGCATTTTTCTTGACCTCGGAGACGAAATTAACTAATCCCTTCATTTATTACCATTTCATCTATCCCTGGATTCCCTAGTGATAGATAATTACACTTGTACTCGTTGTTATGCTTACCTCTTGACCTAGATGATTGTTGACCCATTATAATGGTTGCTGGAATTCTTCTGCAATGATGGTGTTGAGAATCCAGCGTATTTAAAACAATTCTAATCAAAGCAATTAAATGAATGCAATGTGGTTGTTGGCTATACTGGTACTGAAACAATAAAATAATGTTCAGCTTATGCTCTTTTGCACTGTGTTATATTATATTACCTTATATAAAATTACAACTAAAGACATGAGCCAATTTTTTCGTGCATGGGGTTCTAAAGCCCATAAGCTATGCAGAGGTTGCTGGAAATCCATAGCACTGGGTATGTAATAAGGTGATGGAGCGTATTGTAACATAATTAAGCAAGTGGGAAATATTATTCTTCCCATGAGGTGATTTTGGTCCATAAGTTGAGGTAAGTTGGCCAGAAATACGTTGAATGCTGGTGACGCACGAAGACTTTGTGGTGGGATGTAAATACCACGGTCTGTTTGACTGTAACCTATGATATTTTACATTATGTATTACAATTATCTTTTTATCTGGGTAGCAAACCTACCTAATAACAACCATAAATGTTTAAGAACAATAGTTTGAGTCCGGCCTAAGTTCTTTTCGTCTGCTGGGTACGCTTGGTCGGATCTGGATAAAAATTGCATGAGAAGAAAAACGAGGAGATGCATCGTCTCCTTATCAGCTTCTTCCAGATCTATAATCCTTTGAAGAAACGTTGACAAGTTTTGGTCGTCGACAGCGTTGAGAGAGTGCATGTGACCATCTAAATTTGAATGTTCAAATGTTACCAAAATTTTATTAATAAACTTTCAAAATCTAATTAATTTTCTGTGAAAATCCTAATAATTCTATGAACACATTTCAAGAATTCATGCACAACTTGGCGGGTGTGAATATTTTTAAGCCTCAACATTTCGTCTAGAAGTGGAAAAGCGAACATACATGTTATAAAACATTGTGAGATAACAAACTGTCATAAACTAGCTAATCTACTTCCATATACCTAATAAATGTGATAAATGCAGATATAACTATAGTGATTATTTTGACTTTACTTTTGGCTACTTCTTTTCAATGTAATTATTTTATCTATAACAAATATAATGCAAAGATAGTGTTTATCTTCACTTCATTGTTGTACTTCATGTGCACCGTGATTATTAATCAATTAAATTGAAATGCTTAGCGTCAATTATTTTTATCTAACCGGATTCAAAGGATATCCTTATGGCATAATTCTTTACAAGTAGTAACTGTTCGATGAATTAACAGGAAATTCCAATAATAATGTGATAATTCACGCATTTAAAGATTCAGATTTTATGGTAGTTGTTAGGAATGAATTACTTGAACAAATCCAAACTCATTCAAGAGCTCAAAATCCAATACCATCATTGGTTTACCGTCAAGTAAGTATAGAGCCTAATGTCTTTGCATGGCAACTATAAGCTTCAACTTATTGCATTAAGAAAACCCAAAATGTCTTATAACACAGCCTTTGAAGCAGGAGGAAATCCTTATCAGTTTTGACAAAATCATCTTCGTCACAGTTCAACAATGTCACTTTTCGCTCACTAAACAGTTAGGTAAAACAAAACTGCCGAAATTTCCACACTAGATCGGTGTCGTTCTCAGAATAAGATGGATTACAAGGTCTTGAAGTATTCTTGGTCGTTTCTTCATGGAGGCATGAAAGGGTGCAACGAATGGTACCCCTACCAAGCTCCCAAGCATCGAATCAATACTGGTGGTACTCAACCAATTTTTCAAACAACTAGATGACTTTCCATAACGAAACAACAAGAAATGGAGTCACGAGTAGATAGTATTCTACTAAGAAAGCCAATTACCCATTACCCAGAATTGATGATACCCTTACGGGTTTGGCTCTGAATCAAATTGGTTTTCCACTTCGGATTTAAAATGCGGATACTGGCAGGTGGGCATTACCAAAAAAGGCAAAGGAATAACCTTTCTTTGTCAATTCAAAGTTTAGCCGTTTGTACTCTGTAATGCTACTATTAAAAGGCTGATAGAAATCGTAATACGAGAACTTACTGGGATGCTTTGTCTCTACCTGGATGAAGTGGGAAAAACTTTCACAAGAAGTACTCGTACCTATCCGTAAGGAATATCTCCGATAAATGAAAAGAATTATTTACTCTTCCAACAATGTTTTATTTTTCTTGGCCCCATAGTTTCACCCGGATGGATTAAGAAGACGTTGCTTTTCGGAGGCTAAAGGCAGTTCTATGGTTTGGTCCTATTTTAGTCTATACAAGCATTTATGGAAAATTTGTTTTGGACATAGACGCGAGCAACATGAGTTTCTGCGATGTCGTGTCACAAATACGAGATGGAGATCGAAGGGTCATTAAATACTATAGTAAAGTGCTTACCAAACCCATAATAAATTAATGCTTCACCAGAAAGGAACTCTAAGCAATTGTACCACGTACCTGGTATAGACAAGAATTTCTCACGAAAACAGTCTATGCATCGCTTAAATAAATCTTGAACTTGAGACAACCAGGGATAGGTAGAAAATGACCGGAGAAGTTGCAAATCAAGAATCGTTCTGGTAAATTGCATAACAACGAAGGTTCCTTATCCAGGCAACCATGCCTAGTTGAATGCAAATGCTGCCTCAGAATTTTCAAGCGTGAGGGAGCTCCTATTAGAAGCCTCTAATTTGAAGCGGATTAAAAATACAGTTCCGAAAAACTTAGAAGTGACCAATTAAAAGTAAGTGACGTCAAGCCATTTTTGAACTTAAAGGAAACTGAAAAATCCAGATCAACCATGGCGAAATTTTACTTAAAAGCTTGCGCCACGAGCGCCATGGGACTTACTTGTAGTCGCAAATGATTTATCGCTGATACGAACCAGAGAGAGGGCAGATCGCAAATCGAAATTGGTCGTGCCCAAGACAAAAGTTGTTCGTGTTTTAGAAAAAGTTCATACACTCTGTGACATCCGGAGCTCGCTTGGGAGTCAACAAGAACTTGCTTGGATAAGATTCGTGACCAATTTTATGTACCAGGATATCAGGACAATGTGCAACACTTGCAGCAAGTCAAGGTGCGAAAACGCAAGCTTAGGGACAAATGGAGCAGTACAAAGCATGGATAACCTTCAAGCGAATGGCAATGGGCATTGCAAATCCTTTCCCTGCGAGAAGCAGGGGCAAAAAATACATTCTAATTACAAATGTCTATTGTCTATGACATTAAAGTCGACGAGGTGCATATTAGAGATTGATCAGAAGATTGCAAGGAAATCACTTTACATATAAATGGAAGTTGAAATAATAAGCTCTGAAAATCTACACAAAGAAGACAAACGATGATAGCGTCTCGAATCTCAGGATGCTCAAGACATAATATGGAGAGACACAGGTGTCCAATAATATTTCCAGTGTGTTTCGGTGTTCTTTCCTGAATTCACTTTTCGACAGTTTTTCCAGAATATTTTCTCCCTTCCGCACGATAGAAAATTCCAATTAAATTTAATCTCCGATTAAATTCAAAGTTAATGTCGAATGATAGTTTATGAAAATCTAAGATAAGAATGTAAGATCGATTTTCCTCTAAAATTAACCGTTTAGGTTTTACAACCTGTCAAAGTAGCAAAAGAGTCAATTTTCAACTGTCAATATTTCAAAAACAGTTGAACTGAGGTATTGAAATTTAGTACCAAAATCTATGCAATTAAAAACCCTCCAAAATTATGTATCACTTGCCCCACTTCCCATTCAAGATTTTCAAGGGGGTGGCTTTGGGAGCTAGGGGGTTGAAGCTTTCAGTTATTGTCAAATTGGAAAATGTCTTTTATTTAATTTCTAATTGTACTTAAAATATTTCCATGTATCTGCTATTTTGTCTAAAGAATCGTCCAACGGAACTAGGACTTTTTTCACTTTGAACAGTAGTCTGCAGTGTCATTGGCAAATTGACTAGTATTTATTACCGAATGCGTAGACGTGATACAGTCAGTGCCGCCAGATGAGCGCTGTCCTCATCTTGTTTTCCATCAACTCCCCCCCGCACCTCACAAAAACCTACCATCCAAGTTTCCTGCCAAACAGAGTTTTTTCCTTTTTTTTCCCCCAACATAGGAAAAAATAATACCTACCTGGAGGGGGTAGTTATCTCAGGCTCAGCATTTAACCTGTCTATCTCAAAAGGTGACTGAAAGGTTAGTCACTTGCTATGAAAATAAGCGTAGGAAACCTGAATAATGAGGAAGTGTCTGATCCCATGTTAGGATTGTTAAAGGCGGCTGTCACACAGCGACTGTTTTGATGTTAGGGGAGGCTGATATGTTATGTCCCAGGGCCTCGTAGAGCCTCGACAGCTTCGGGATCTCCACTCCTTTCTATGCAACTATGCCAAGCTTCTAGAACTGTTAGGGACGGTGTGAATGATGCAGTTCAGCAATAATCATGTAGCGTACACGTCTCTTGGAAAATATTCTGATTCTGTGTCAGGGATTCGAAACATCTGGGTCATCAATTTACAAAAATGTTTCAATCAAAATTGGAGTTACAATGAAAGACACTTTTCAATTTCAAAAGGAGGAGGCTGTGTACATGTGTCCAGATCAGGAAAGAAACAAAGTGTACCTATTTCATGCAAATTTTGTTTAGGTATTGAAATTCAGCGTAGTACAGCGCTTTCGGCTTTCGCTATCATAAGTACTACCTGCAAGCGAGCGAAGAAGAAATTCATAATAGAGTTGTAAATATGTATGTGTACCTATGTATAATAAATTAGTGGATGTAATACCTATATTTTTTTAAATTCTTTCTTTTTACTCACTTCTTGGTTCTTTCAATGATTCAGTGTTATTAGGACACTAGAACACACTAAATCATTGAAAGAACAATTTATATTTACTAATAATCAAGTAAAATACACAGGAAAATTTAAAAGTTTTATATTTATATTTAAATCTTGACTTTCTGGCGGTCCTCGATTTTTAAAGTTTTATATTGTTTGTAACCTTTTTCGAGTACAGATCTATAATTCTCGTCGTGTCGTGATGCTTTTTATTCTCATCGTCGCTGTCCTTTTACAATTTTAACTTCTCTGTCGGAACCTGATAAGTGAGTAAAAACAAAGAATTTAAAAGAAAAAATAACATCCACTAATTTATTATATACCTACATATTTACAACTACTCTATCATGAATTTCTTCTTCGCTCGCTTGCAGGTAGTACTGATCATGGCGAAAGCCGAAAGCGTTCTACTACGCTGAATTTCAATAAACAAAATTTGCATGAAATAGACTTTGTTTCTTTCCTTACTTTTTGATTTGACAATGACTAAAAGATGTTTTAACTACTACAAAGGTAAAAGTGAAAGGTATAATGAAATTGTAAAATGCTAGTACCTACTGCAGCCTTGTACAGAGCTGCGATTTTAGAGTGCAAGAAAACGAGTACTACTGCGTGATGCAAAGATCAACAAACGTAATTGTGGTGATCCAGTGGACTAAATCCGCTTTAACAGTTTTATTATACTTGCTTGAGTAATCATCATGCTATATATTCAGTTTTGTTGTCTAGCTTGCGTATACCAGAACAAAGAGGAGCAATGGAAATTCCAGTAGTTTTTTTTTATAATTCTTTGTAGCATTTTTAAAGTCGAAAAGGTTAAAGTACCAATATGACTTGAAGTATATGAATGAGGCGAGATGAAAATTTAACATGGATTAGACTGTATCATGCTGACACTAAGCAAGGCCCTAATCTATTTTCTACCTGGAATGCTGTTACTAGTGCCTAGAAACTGACCCAATCCAAATCGAGAACTTTTCCTTTTCAATATGGGTGCCGAGTATTGACGGCTATATACTTTTTCCTTTGTTTCTGGAACATGCACTGCAACAAAAAAGAAACACTCAATAGTCTCGCAGTAGCAAGGTATTACAAAAATACTCTTTGGTGTCCCAAAGACCAGGACGGTTTTTAAATAACGCGTGTGAAGTTAGCACCCGATTCTCAGCAACGATTTTTCAGGAAAAGCGCATTAGCGCCAGCGGTGGTTGATCAATTTTCGTATTTTGGACAAAGGCAATGATGTGACTTTTTGTTTCTTCTTCAAGTTTTTTCAAATAAAAGTTAGAATAAGTTTCACAGTAAATCACTGTTCACTGATAAAAAAATTCTTTGCGATAAAAAATATTCTTCTTGTAGGAAAGCCTCAACTTTGTTTGTTTGTTTGTTTAGAGTCACACGTCATTTTTATCATAAACGGATACAATACAAAATACAAATAAAATTCGCATGGGAAAATTAATGAAATAGAAACATCTTTCTGAATTTTTACTGATAGAAAATTTCCTACCGATGAAAAATTTTTCCCTTGTGGATATTATGATAGCGTACCCTCATAGATTCATTTTAAAACAAAAATTAGAGTGACACATCTTCTAGTTTTCGCAAAATAAATATTGTTTTGTGTCATATTGATTCCGTGTTTGGGAACATCTTCTTGAATTTTCACTGATAGAAAATTTCTTACCGATGAGAAATTTTTCCCTTGTGGATATTATGATAGCGTACCCTCATAACTTCATTTTAAAACAAAAATTAGAGTGACACATCTTCTAGTTTTCGCAAAAAAAAATATTGTTTTGTGTCATATTAATTCCGTGTTTGGGAACATCTTCTTGAATTTTCACTGATAGAAAATTTCCTACCGATGAGAAATTTTTCCCTTGTGGATATTATGATAGCGTACCCTCATAACTTCATTTTAAAACAAAAATTAGAGTGACACATCTTCTAGTTTTCGCAAAAAAAAATATTGTTTTGTGTCATATTGATTCCGTGTTTGGGAACATCTTCTTGAATTTTCACTGATAGAAAATTTCCTACCGATGAAAAATTTTCCCCTTGTAGATTTTATAACAGCCTACCCTCATAACTTCATTTTAAAACAAAAATTAGAGTGACACATCTTCTAGTTTTCGCAAAAAAAAATATTGTTTTGTGTCATATTGATTCCGTGTTTGGGAACATCTTCTTGAATTTTCACTGATAGAAAATTTCCTACCGATGAGAAATTTTCCCCTTGTAGATTTTATAACAGCCTACCCTCATAACTTCATTTTAAAACAAAAATTAGAGTGACACATCTTCTAGTTTTCGCAAAAAAAAATATTGTTTTGTGTCATATTAATTCCGTGTTTGGGAACATCTTCTTGAATTTTCACTGATAGAAAATTTCCTACCGATGAGAAATTTTTCCCTTGTGGATATTATGATAGCCTACCCTCATAACTTCATTTTAAAACAAAAATTAGAGTGACACATCTTCTAGTTTTCGCAAAAAAAAATATTGTTTTGTGTCATATTGATTCCGTGTTTGGGAACATCTTCTTGAATTTTCACTGATAGAAAATTTCCTACCGATGAGAAATTTTTCCCTTGTGGATATTATGATAGCCTACCCTCATAACTTCATTTTAAAACAAAAATTAGAGTGACACATCTTCTTGTTTTCGCAAAAAAAAATATTGTTTTGTGTCATATTGATTCCGTGTTTGGGAACATCTTCTTGAATTTTCACTGATAGAAAATTTCCTACCGATGAAAAATTTTCACCTTGTAGATTTTATAACAGCCTACCCTTATAACTTCATTTTAAATAAAACTTAGAGTGACCCTTCTTCTAGTTTTGAATTTTTTTAAAATTATTTTGTGTCATATTGATTTCGTGTTTGAAAACATCTTCTTGAAGGGAAAATTATAGAAAAATGTTTTCATAGGTACCTACCCTTTTGTGAAAAAAAAATCGAATCAAGAAAAAAAAATATGTACATTGAATTGACCCCAATTACCGCTGGCGGTAATGCGTTTCTCCTGAAAAATCGTTGCTGAGAATCGTGTGCTAACTTCACACGCGTTTTTAAATATCCGTCCCGATATAGAATTCGGGGTTTTGTCGCTACGCTGTCATCCCGGCAAGTGTCGTTGCGACGACGGCGACGGTTGGATCCGACGTATCCCAAGTAGGTTAGAACTTTTACCCGCCCTTTGTAGATGAGAAGCTAACTGACCTACAGAGCTCCTTGACGACCAACTTCATGGATAATTTAGTCTCTAACAAATTTTAAATTTGCCAATTGTTTGTACAAGAAAATGCAAGAAAGTTGAAAAATCAGGTAAAAATCGATTTCTTTTTCAACTGTTTCGCAATTCCTCTTTTCCAGGATGTATCGCTAGAATGAGAAATTCAAATTGGACGCGTAAGAAATCAGGATGAAAATCTCGCAATAGTCATAATACGGGACACACTGTCAAGGACTGACCACCCTTCTAAAATTTTTATTTTCTAACCGATTCAATTTATTGTATTTTTGTTTTATATCTACTCGAATTTGGCACTTATTAGGCTCATAATTTTATTTCTGCGGCTATACTGGTGTACAGGGTGTCCACATTTATAGGCTCAAATTTCAATAAATACTCTTAGGGAGTTTTTTAGAGAAAATCTGATGGCAGATTCTGGTTTAAAACCCAAATGTACTATTTTTTTTTATCAATATGATACAGAGTGATCACAAAAAAAATTCAAAATTTAATGGACCAAACCGGAGAAATGTCATATTTTGAGGCCTTGAGAACAACAAAACTTGATACAACATAGTTTTGGAACATCTCTAACCAAAACTTGTACTAGCTTGTCTCAAAATATAACATTATTGAGGTTTGATTCATTAAATTGTGAAAATTTGTTGTCATCACCCTGTATCGTATTGAAACAAAAATAAGTACATTTGGGTTTTAGACCATTCTAAACAAGAATCTGCTATCAGATTTTTAGAAGGGTGGTCAGTCCTTAAAGGGGGTGTGACCCTAAAAAACGACTCAAGCTACTTAAATCAAGAAAAAAAATCTAAGATCTCTCGTGAAAACCGCAGTCCTATGTTCAAAATGGTCTCCGAGAAAATTGCTTGTGAAGATAAATTATGTAGGAGTTTGTGATGTCACAACCGCCGAAATCGCAGTATTCTGTTCGTTCAGTTGTGAGTGAACAGTACCCTATACTTTCAGTGGTTGCAATTCGCTTTAGGAGATAATTGTCTTCTGTTTTGGAAAATTCTTACAAGTGTTAATACTGTTCCTGATAATCCAGTGTGACGTCACAAACGCCTAGTTGTAACTTTAAACCGCTCTTAGTCGAAAACGGACCATCGTAGCAAGATGCGGTTTAAATATTTATTCTTAGATTTTTTTGCACTAAAACTTCCATTTTTGGGTCACACCCCCTTTAAGCGGGACACACTGAAACTATTGTGCAGCCTCGAACTCTTTATTGGTATTCAGCAATTCAAAAGGCGTATATTCTGGATAGTGTAACGAATGTTATCGAAATATGAGTTCGTAGTATACAATCGACTGAATTTTCCTCATAGCATGATGTTGTAGAGCTTCAGGCACAGTTAGAATATGCGATAAGTGCTTTGTAAAATAGGATAAAATGTAGCTTCCATTCATCGGATTCTCCGCTAGCTACATACCGCGGTTTAGTCGTTTCGAACTTATTGGTTCTTGTCAGTACATAACAAAAAACATAACTACCAAATCACAGAACAAGATTGATATAAGAACTACAATGCCATCATAGCCATCAATGCCAAAATAGCAAGTGGTGTCATCTCCTCGAAGTTCTGCAAACCACAAATGAAAAATCACATATGTATGGCCGAATTGTACCTATTTAGCAATTCACGAAGTGCATCTTCTTGACAGTGTGACTCATCTCATTGGAATATTTTCCTTATGAAAAATTCATTTAGAGCAAAACTACATGTATCGCATATTAGAGCTACGTCTAGAAGTGATACCTCATAGTATGAGGAAAATGCAGTGGATTGTTCACTTAGCGCCTGCACAACGAATTTTCCACTTGGAAAATATTCCGATTTCATTATTCGTTTTTGCCAACCGTTCAGTTGAGGAGTCGTAGGAATTCCAGATGAGTCCTGGAAGTTTTGGTTGTTGCCTCCTTCCTACTCTATCTACTCTTCTAATGCAAAATTTTTCATGATAATTAACAATAAGGTCAGTTTAAAAATCCTGATTCGATGTATAGAATAATCATTGTCCAAACAGCCAGAAGTCGTAGCTTAAATGCAAGGTTGCTATCTTCTGATAACGTCTTTAAAACCCACTATCCACTGATTTAAAATTGTCTTCATATTCACAGGCACGACCCTCGGGTTTATTTGAAGAGAATTTGATGAGTGGGTCATTTTTCGAAATTTAAAAACTTTTCAATAACGACCAAAAGCCACACTTTTTGTTATTAAAAAATGCCAATACGCCTCGAGATACGAATAAAATAAACCAAAAAGCTTTGTAATGAAACCAAAAAGTTGTAAAATGAAAAGATGCCAACCCCTTAGTCACCCTCTTGATTTTTCTGAAAAGATCAGACGAAAAAAACCACGATCTTCTTCAATTTTCCCCTCGAATATCTCGGAAACGGAGCGGTTCTTGTATGAACCTTTTTAATATTTTGATCAGTATTTTCCCCTCAAAGTTTGTACCACCTATTTCAAGAACACCCTGTACATTACTTCCAGGAAACCAAAGCTCGAATAGAAATTGCAACACCTGAGTACCTGAGAGTGCGTCGACGTTAATTAACTGTATTATTTCCAGACAAAGACACCGAAAAATGCTGACTTTGATAGAATCGCTATGCTTTCGAAATGGTGGTGATAGGTGGATATTAGGAGTTTCAAGGATTGACACGACAATAGGGAATGTAGGAGCAAGAATATAATATAATTAGGATAATAAGTCATGATAATGTTCAACCTTGGCAGAAAAAAATTATCTTTTTTGAAATTTAATTTCGTGTTTTGTTACCTGATTTGCTTTCCTGATGCCGTATGATTGATGCAGGTGCCGACATGGTGCGTTTATAAGGCCATTTTGTTCCAAAACTAGCGCTTAAGGTTTTAATCGAACTCGAGATACTGCCCTCATTGAGGCTCGACAATGCATTGTGAGCTCGATGAAGTTTCTTTATAAATATTTCACTGTTGACATCTGTATTCTTTAAATCTACAAAAATTCGTTAAAAGAATGAAATAATATAAAAAATACCTACTTACCTCTAATATAAGTAATATCACCAGCTTTTTCCAAAGCAATCTGAGCTTCAATGAATAACGTATCGAAACGATTAAGAAAAAAATCCCAACATAAAATTTTTCTTTCGCTTAATGAATTGTGAAGTTGGTAAATAGACTGCAAAACCATTGGTCGGTCTAATATCACTGAGTCAAATTGAGACTCCAGGCACAATATTAAAGACTGCAACGATATTTTTTCAGATAAAATCATTTCTTATATATAATTCTTACCCTAACTGCAAAATCATGAATGGTACCCAAATACAAAGTAGCTCTTTGGGCAACATAAACATTAGGATCATCCATACTGGAAATTAGAAAACAAAATGCGTTTGCCATAGCTGCTTGTAATTGCATTTGGTTTTTTAAAGGACAATCGGCCATAAATCTGGCTAAAACAGTGACTCTTTCCACTGCAGTAAATCTAACTCTCCAATCTTGATTGTGAAAATCATCCTGGATTATTCTCCAAAACACGTCAGGACCTGCTGGTAAGGTAATGCAGTGCAACAATAGAGGAACAGCTTCTTGGCAAATGTGAGAGTGTTCAGAGTTAAGGAGATTCCATAAACTAAAATAAAATAAATGCAAATATGCGAGCTTTTATCACTAGGTAACGTACTTTTTTATAGTCAAGTGCTCCTGACACCAAATAAAAAAACCCTTATTCTCCTTTGATGCTTTAGTACAAGCATCGCCATAAAGAATTAAAACGTTCAAACATTTAAGCATATAATAAAGAATATCTGGCTTTGTAACTTTGGAAAGTTCCATTAGTAGTTGGTGTATAAACTGTATTGGCTCGGGTAAATCTTCTAAGGAAAATTTGAATTTTCCAATAGAAGTTTGCCAAAAATCTATTTCTTCACCTCCTGAATCTGATTCTGGTTGCTCATTTGTTTCTCCTAACATTGACGGTTGAGATTTTCCTATTGAAACTGTTGCTGTTGCTAGAAAAAAATCATTTGATAAATAAATTGAAGTGAAATAAAGAAAAATAGAACACACATTTATTTAAAGTGATAATATTGACTTGATTAAAAAGTCATCTACCGAAAGCAGTCCGAGGGCGAAAGAACCAAAAACGTCTTCTACTACCGCCAGTTTTATGCGAAGAGGATAAATTTGAAATTGATTTTCACGACTTTAAAACTATCACCCAACAAGGCCTTAAGGAGTACGCCAACTAACAATACTATGGTTGACGAACATGTCTTATGATTCCCCTATATGCATGGATGAACTTAAACGAACACCCGTGACGATAGATAATGCTCCAGGCCAACAAAAGGTAACTAAATTGTTCCAGCTCATTAAGAAACAACAATCAACAACAGCCGCGACACAGATAATATGACCAAGATTCATTGATCACAGACCAAACTGTGGAAAACCGAAGCACTACGCAGAGACATGCTAAAATAATAAAAGAGAGCACATCCAAACACACATGGAAAGTGAAATATTGGTGCAAAATATGCCGAAGAGAAGGCGGTGAGACGATACCGATCGAAAGGTGGAAGTTTGATCTCAAAAGACCTTGCAAATGAGTCCTGGACAAGTCTGGGCAGTACCAGTAAAGAAAAAATATGGTTCCACGAGGTTTTCAGTGGATTACAGGAAAAGCAATAGTACCTAAGTGAAAAGTAAGAAAGTCAAATCATCCTCAAGCTCGAATTCATGACGTTATTAATGACATATTTGGACAATAAGTTCGATTCGTGATAGTTATTTTTAATGGAGCGATCCTTACAAAATTGATTTTCCCAACACTCGATAAAATCACATGTGTGTAACATTAATGCTAACTTACCTATATCTGTTTCTGATAAAGTAACAACCCTGGTAACAGCCGAAACCACTTTCTCGGCAGGCATTATTGACGCCAAGTCTAGTTGTTCGGAGACGGTTTCAACAGTAGCAGTCATAATCTAAAAAAAATCTAATATAGAAAAAGTTAGGATAGAGAATCAATTAAATAGCTCAAACCAAGAAGGAACTAAGCTGTACCCAATAGGGTAAGGACTTAAGTGGTTGGGAGCCTTGGTTTGAGTTATGCTGTAATATTCGTACAGAACACACGTGCGGCATATGGACTAATACACCTCCCACCGAAGGCACTTCTGGAATTGGCATATTTAGGACCAGCTCACTTGGTTTTTCTTTTTTTTCATTTTCGGGTGGACTTTTTCGACTGTGAACATCATCTGTTTCAGGTTCTGGAGGCGGCTAAAACAAACAGTTGTATTAACTCTTCATAGTCGAAGTAAAACTTTTTTTGGAAAGTTTTGGTTCTCTCTCGTCTCAACTTCAAATTTACGACACTATTCCTAAGACTGTGCCTTCATATCATACAGTGTATTCCGAATAAAAACGCGCATTCATTGGTAGAGTTGAAGTAGAGTAGATTAGAGTGAGTAGCGTGTTTGGACCAAGTCTTTATAACAGTTTCAATCGAGTCGCCTTCTAACGTTTTTTTCGACGCCCTTGTGAAATCCATTTTAATAACTTTTTCTTTGCTGTCCATCCTCGATTCACGACTTTGCGCCTTTAATTTTGTTACTTCGCATCTTAGAGACGTGCACCCCACAGTTGAGGAACCGCTGCCCCAGAAAAACAAGGAAGGTATGTTAATAAAATTTGATATTACATCTGGATTTGGGAAAATTTGAATGTTAAAAATTATTTATTTGAACATCTCTGCCTCCTCCCCTAGCAAGTAGCAATTATGATATTTGTTGGTTGTTAACTACTCCAATTAATTATTACTTTTTCTCAGTTAAGCCTCATAATCTCTTATTAGGGTGTTGCTTGAACCTTGAATATGACAGTAAGATTAATTTATACCTATATTAAGTGTAGGTATTCCAAGTATTGCATCTTTAGTAGTTTTTGAAATACATAGAGCTTTTCAAATTGTAAAGGTTGAAACGTTTTGAAATTAAGACGATTTAGCAAGATAAAGTAAAACCTGTGCACTTATACAAGCGATTCAATAAAATTATAATACATCGAAGTGAGAAAACCAAATAGCAAGTGACAAAAACAGTAATCCATCCAACCCTTAGATATAAAAAATGTTTTAAAAAATTATTCAAACAAGTTTCAAAAACTTATTTGAAAAATGATATGTATCAAGAAAAGATAATTTATTTATTTATTTCTGTAAATAGAACATTACAGTACACAAAGCTCAATTTACAAGTGACATCGGCCATTTAGGTGCATCAATCAATAGTCTCGAGCTCTTATTAAGCCCATATAAGTGAAGAAACGCTTCAGAAACCATAGAAAAATGTTTGAAGATGTTCTCCCTCAAGACGGTTACGATTGAATGTGATTGAAAAAAGTAGGTATATTGAATAGATTGAAGATATGCTCTTAGGCCGGTCAATAAAAGAATCAGAATAAAACTGGAAACGCCCATAACTGGGTTGGCAGCAATGAAAATCGTTTTAAATTTGGGAAACGGCTAAAAAAAACTGACATAATCTTAGTGAAATTAAGTCTCCCTTATTTGCAATACTCAGCGAAATGTGCTAATAAATCCAACGTACATACTTTCATCCTGCTGCGTCTTCAACTTTTGTTTGACAATTGAATGAACTTTTTCACTGATTTTCAACTTTATTTTCAATTTTACCATGTACATTTGATTGGAATTATTTTTGATATGTCATCGTTTGGCGCGTTTTAATGATTTTAAGTTTTTCGAGTTTCTAGAAAACTTATTTAACCTGATGCATGAATCTTTTTTTTTTTTGTAAAATATATTTGAAATAGTAAGTACCTCGTTTAAGTCGTTTAAGACTTTATGCATAAATTATGTACCTAAGTACCTATTTAAATTTTAATGAAAGTGAAAGAGCCCGCACCAGTCCCATGGCTGGAATCCCATTGCAAACGAGGAGGGGAGGACTAAAAACTAGTCTTTATATCTTCAGCAGGCACTTTCGGGTCGCCATACCAGATATACGAAGAAGGTGTTTTTGTCCAAGAAACTTACCGTAGCGTGGGTACCAGGCCATGAGAGCCACCTTGGCAATGAAGAGGCTAACGACTTAGCTACTTAGCTAAAGGAGGCTCAGCTACCGAGATGATAGGCCCAAAACTATTCTGTGGAATCTCAGCATGCCTCGTTAAAACATCTATCAAGAACTAAATAGACAGAGAATTCCAGAGATGGTGGCACCAGGACAACGACAGGCTAAGAAGTTTATTAAATTCTGCTTGCCCAAGTTCACATCAGACCCACTTTATCTAAGGCTGACAGAAAGAAAACCACGAGCACAAATTCCCTATTCTTCCTGTTGCCTTAAGAACAGAACACAAATCCTTTGGTACGTAGAACATCCAAGAAGTCTCTGGGCAGATGTATGAAGTAATATCAAAATTCAAACGTCAAAAAATGGACCTGATTGTCGCTCCAGAAACCAAAAGGACAGGACGGAGCTCAGAAAAGCTGGGAAAGTATAACCACTTCTACAGGGATGTTATCGAATGAAATTTAGACCGAAGAAAAGAGCCTCGATTATTATAGATCGAAAACGGAGAAAACATATAACATCATGGAATGCAGTATGATGAAACAATAATAAAACTAAATGTAGGGATGTATGTTTGGAAGAAAAATAACAGCTTTGGGAACATAATAATTAGGAAGTGAACGACAATGAACACCTCAAAGATGCATTCTTTAAACAAATCGGTGATCAAATCCTGAAAGTAGGAATTTCCAGGAAAATAGAATTTGTAGCATACTTCAGTGGACGAATAGGAAGAAAAATCAACGTCAACCTAGTAATAAAGGAAAAAGCTGAAAAAACAGTGTAGCTGCTTGAAAAATGGACGAACGCCAGAGTTAGGAAAAATAAGTATAGACGCAATAAACCTCACAAACATCTAACAAAAATTTTCCAAACATGCACAGAAAAAGATGAAGTACCGGAAGAATAGAAAATCAGCTGCTTAACGACGATATATTAGAGACCAGTAAAAGACAAATGCGAAAATCACTGAGGCACTGCAGTGATAAATAAGTTAAGCAGGGCACATGAAAAAGTTATAAAAAACCCAATGGAAAACGAGGAAGAAGATAGTGAGAAGAACAGGCTGGATAGTGGATTTGGAGCAGGAAGATCAACAGTAGACCACCAATTTAGTCCGATCCGGGTGATAAAAAAGAAGCTTCATTTACTATTTCTGGATTTAAAAAAGGCAAATTATAATATTCCACTGAAAATGCTACTAATAAAGCCAGTTGGAACTATAGTGTCGCAAAAACCAAAACTAAACAGGGTAGCACTTTCAGTACCCAAGGGCTTTAACAGGGATGTTGCCTATCACCAATACTTTTTGAAATATATTTGGAACAAGCGCTCAAGAGGTTTAAAAAAAATGCAAACATACAGTATTAATTGAACAGAATTATAATCACCTCCAGAGTACATGACATGTAAACTGATACAAATACAATAAATAGGATTTGGAAGTAAATCTGACGAAAACTGAAAATACATGAACATAAGAGGAGAACGACGAAACCTAAAATTGAATGACGGGCAAGAAGTAAAACAATGCACTGAATACTTGGGAATGAATATCTCGTATGTATAAGGGGACCCTGGACGAAGCAATTATTGAGCGAAAACAATGACAGAAGGCAATATCCCTAATAAATAGAGTACTGTGGGAGAAAAAATATCAACAAAACAAACAAGAATAGAATAATCAACACCATCGTCATATAGAGTTCAGAGGTCTGGCCACTGAAAGAAAACCGTAAAAATACTGGAGGCAAATGAAATGCCCTTTTGAGGGAGGACGGCATGTAGGTCAGTAATAAAGAAAATATCAAACGAGATAATCACAGAAATTACGAATGTAGACGCACTCAATGATATTGAAGAAAAACCACTGATTTGGCTCGGACATGTACAAAGAAAGGTAGATACGAAAATTATTGGGTGGAAACCAGGGGGAAGAAGCTGGAGAAATGGAACAGATGAGAAAATGAGAGACAGTGGCTTGGAGGAGGATGCCTGGATGGACAGAAATGGTTGGAGATCGAAATCGAGGTCAGAAGACGGACAATAAATGTCAGATATTAGAATTTTTTACTATTGCATATTATATTTTCATTTTTCTCATGAATTGAAAAAAGGCGCGAAGGAGTGAGAAAGCAACGAGATTTTCCAGTTTGTGCCAACTATTGCGCAACGAAACAGTTTCATACGCAGTACTTTAGGTTTTATAATCATACAATTTTTGAATATTTAATTTTCACATTGGAAACGTTAATTCAATCCTATGTTTTTACATAGGAATTAGGTACCCCTCGCGTTATTTCCCAGAATGGGAATTATCGCGGAAGAACATCTTCAAGTCTTTAAAACCTTATTACAAAAACACCGTAGTAACTTGCTTGGAGCGTTGAATTGTCAACTTGATAATATTTGTGACACTGCAATTGGTGTGTTCATAATAGAAAGTTTGAAATGAACTAAAATAAAAATTCATTTAAAGTATAATAATGCATCAAATAAGAAGATATTATAAAATCAAAACTATGTGGTTTTATGAAATGGAATAAATAGTAGATTTATAGGACATCAAAAAACACAGAAAAATAAAATGCTAATGAAAAAATATAGCTAATTAAATATAGAAAAACAGCGAGAATGGGCAAGTTCATCTTTTTTTTTCAAATTGCAATAAATTTAGACCACATTTATTTCAGGATTTTAGGTAAATATTTTTAATTTGTTTAGGTAAAGTTTTCCATTCTAGTTGCATGAATAGTCCAAGATAATCGTCGTTTGAAAAAAAAAATTAGAGGCAAGCTAATTTTTTCAGGGCTGTTCAAGGAAAAAGTTGTAGAGAATCCGATTATCTACAATTATAGTCCAAAAATTTCATTGTAGTTCAACACCCTCCTTGAACAATCCTGAAAAAATTAGCTTGCCTCTAATTTTTTTTTCACACCTTCCGGAAATACAATTATCTTTGACTAGAAAGAAGAAAAATAAAATCATGCTTTATAGATTCTTACATCAGGAGGATGTGCAAGAGTAACAGGTGACAAATAAATGACAAGTTCATAAGCTAGTTGATGCCACATTATACTGCACTCGCAGTAAGTACATTCGGTTTTTGATGAGCAGGAGTGTGAGCTAATCCAAGCAGCTGTTATCATGCTTTTCAAAAGCGAGCACACATTTTTGCACAGCGAGGAACTTAGACCTGTATGTTTGTCTATTTCTTGTAGTTCCATTTGCTTTAAAAGGATGTCAAGCATCAATATACAACAGAACAAATTATTTTCTGAATCGGTTTCAAAATGGCTTTTGGTTAGCAAGTTTTCTTCATCTGATATCGAGGTTTTAGTTGAGTCACAATGATGAATGTTTTCAGGTGCTAAAAATATGGTTTTAACAAAAAAGAATGGTAACTCTCAAAATTGCATGCTTACTTATTGAGTCTCTTTTAGGCTCTGTGACCACAGGATGAACTTCTAAAGGTTGTTGTATCGGAATAGTTTCACTGTTATCGACCCCTTCTTTCATACTAGTAACTCCATCATTGAATATTGAAAAAAGAAGATGCAAAGGAGTGGAAATTTCTAACAATGTTAATGTCTGAAATAATTAATTTTCGAAAGTTGAACTATCTAAAAGCTGCAAAATATAATTACTTGTAGCCATTTAAGAGCTTGTTGTTGTACTTTGGCATTCGTCTTCTGAAACCTAATTGCCACAAATTGATACATCTTCTTAGCATCAAAGCCCAAAGGACTCATATCAGGATCCAAAATTTTGCTTAGAATTATTTTAAGCTCTGGAAGTTCTTTTTCTGGTACACTATTGACAGTAGCTTCCATCCAATGAGGCATTATATGATCCCAAATTTCCTGCGAAATTACGTCATAAGGCACAAGGCAGAAAAGTCGGTCCAAACCTTCTTTCAGGTGAGTAGTTCTTGTAGCTAGGGTATCCCTGAAAGTTTTTTAATGAAGTCCTGGTTGTTCTTTGGAAAGAGGGACTTACCAATGACCTCCAATTCTAGCATAGTCGGATGGATGAGGTAAAAGGCACGATACAAAAAGATCATAATGCGATTTACTTACTTCTTTTAACCACCCACACACATCTATCATTTTAAGTTTTTCTAAGGCGCTTTCTTCTCGACCTAAAAAATATTTTCAGTTGTAGGCATCGGTAAACCTACGACATTGCTTTACCATCGTAAGAATATGCTGTCATATGAAACCAATGAAAGATCATTGCTAAAAGCCTTCCTAATACTTCAGTTTGCGTCTTTTCGCCTGTGTTACATCGACCTACCAGTAACCAAACCCCGTATCTTCCTAAAAGTTGTCGCTCTTCTACACTAATGTTATCTAATGCGGGAATGGGACTCTTTCCGTCTTTTTCCTTTTCTTTACCTTCTTTCGATTCTTTTTTATCACTTCGCTCTTCAATTTCTTTCCTATCTATTTCTTTTAACTCACTTTCAGGAATTTTTGATTCTTTCAACAAACTAAGTTTCCAATTATAGAAAAATAAAAACCACAAGTTTTAAGAATTACCTAACAATGGCTTCAACCATACAAGTCTGCATTTCCGGATCCATTTCCCAAGTTGGTGGAATAGCTTTATGGACAATATGATCTCCACCCCTCCTAGAATTATGTCGATTATTGTGACACTGTTCGCAGTACCTGATAGGATGGTTTCCGTTATATGAGGCACATTCGGTTGAAAAACATATGGATATTGCTGATTTATCATTTGATCGACAGTTCTAAAACACGATCAAACCATAAACAATATTTATTGAGAAAAAAAAAATGCAAATAATTCATACCTTATTTTCACAGACCATAGAAACTTGTTGCATGAGATGTAGCACGTCAAAAAAGCGTTGATTAGGATGTTCCCTATGGATCTCGTTGGCGCATTCAATGCACAAATATAATGGAGGAGGAATATCAGTGGAAAATTGAATGGCAATACAATGATCGTAACAAACTTTTGCAGCTTCGGCATTTCCGGAATTAGGACATTCGTCTCGTTGACAAACAAAAGGATTCGGTTCTATTAAAAAATAATTGTCTTTTATTGCCTGCAGTATTTTCTGATATTTTTATACAAGAAAATAAAACACAGTTCAAAAAAATATACTTATTATCATCCTAACAAGTGCGGAAAGTTGTACCTTAAAATATTTTAAAACACGTGTAGCTCATTGATGGCAAAACATCCATCGCCAATACCAATGGGCTTCATAACAAGGAGACATTAGGATTGGTTTGATGAGAGCAATAAGGAAATTCATAACGTCATCGATCAGAAGAGAAAAGCCTACAGTATCTGGCAAAAAGATCTAGGCGAGTGAAAAACAAAACTATCTTCATGCAAAGGCTTTAGTGCAGAGAAGAACAATAATGCTAATAAGACAGTGGTGGACTACTAAGTCAATTAAATTGGAACTTTTAGCAGCTACTAGCAACACCAGGGCCTTCTCCAGCGCCAGAAAAGGAGTATATGGTCTGTCTACAATAGGTCCAAATCCCCTTAGATCTAGAGATGGGGCCGAGCAACTCAAAAATCCCGCTTCTCCCGATGGAAGGAGTATTCTAAGGAAATCTTGAAGAGAGATTATAGCGTAGAGATGATGAGGTCTGCCACAAAGTCCGTTACCACAAACCCATTAAAAACCATTTGAGTGATGTTCCTTCCCATCAAGACTAATCAAGAGATTGAAAAGGCTAACAACCAGAAAAATCGAATTAGCAAAGCATACCTTCGAATATGGAATTTGTAGACATTGTCAAGGCGTTTGACTTTATAATCGAGTCGTTCTTTGGACCTACTCCTACTGCCCGCCTAAATTCATCAACTTACTTCGTTTATTGCTTGACAACCTCAACACCACTGTCCTTACCAACAACGGACCCGGAAAGGCCTTTGAAATCACGACCGAGGTCAAGCAAGGATGTGTCATTGCGAAAAGTCTATTCTCAATATTTGTAGGATGCGTACTCGACCTTGTTCATGAAAACCTGACGTTTGGCGTTGAAATCTCCTATGGAACTGATGGTAAGCTATTTAATCTAAGCAGACTTCGAGCCAAGAAACCAAAGTATCCACAACAGCTACTGTTTATGAGCTTCAATATGCTGAAGATAATGGTGTCCCGAGAAAGATCTAGAAATCACTTTGAATGCATTTAAGTAAGCATACGAAGGCATCGGTCCGGTATGATACGTAGGGCGCAAATGGCATCACGCGTATGGTTAATACGGCTCTGAAAGATAACTTTTTGGTGGGGTGGCTGCTGCTCTCTAGAGTGAATTGGTCCTAAGGAGAGCGACCACGAATGAGAACCGATGCAGTGGTTGCGTCGATCTTCTAATCCATCTAGTTGAAACAACGACCTGCTGAGTGCTAACAAAGCATGTTTTTCGTATGGTCTGAAAGCTACAAAATTTTTTGATGTTCAAAGTGTTTTTCTAAGTATACGGATAAGACAAAAATCCTATATCAGCCTGCCCCAAATACGAACGCACCTGATCCAGTTGTGTAATTATCAGTGGAGCACCTATAGAAAATATAGAAAACTTCCCATACCTCGATAGTCATCCTTTCAAATGGACTTATTGACGCAGAAATTCAACACTGGCTAAAGTGCGTTAGTGCAGCTTTTAGACGTCTCTTGAAAAGGTACCTACTTCGACAACCACAACATAATTGCCCAAACTAAGCTAGCTACAGCGCGATGATCATACCAACATTTCAGCTTTGTTGCAACACAGCCCAAATCGAACAATGTACCGTCACGATTCTGCGCAAAGCCTAAAATTTGTGAGTAGAATTCGTATACAGAGTGGTTTCGAAACCATTGGGACGTTGACTTTGAGGAAACTAATTTCACCAGCATTGAGGCAATGCTCATCAAACATCAGCTTCGCTGGGCTGGTCATACCGTCCGCATGCCAGACTCACGTCTACCTAAGCAAATTATGTATGCCTTATCCTACTAAAAAATGGCCATCGCAGAAAAGGAGGCCAATCTAAATCATATAAAGATGTCCTAAAGGCAAAAATGAATGCGTGTCAGATCGATGTGGGCTAAACCTCTACATAAGGCGAAGGGATGCAGAGGACAAACGATATCGTAGAAAAGGACCAGAACGTGTGATAAGATCTGGTTTGTAACAGCGACCGGCCACCGTAGAAGAAATTCTGGGTCCAGAATAGGCTTATTCAGCCATCGAAGAACCCATAGATAATGATGTTGCCAAGAATCCTATAATACTCGTTAGCAAATTAAGTCCTACAAGGATGATATGATCATGACCCTTTCAATTTCAGCTCTGCCTCTCTTTCCGAATCCGCTGTTATCTTGGATCTGATATTTGAAAATTACGGAACTAGAAATAGAAAAAGTAGGTATATAGAATTCTTACCAGCAAATTTGCAAATTAAATTTTTCCTATCAAACAAATTAGCATTAAATGTAGGCCAATAATAAAATAAAAGTTTAGCTGCAGATGCTCGTGAGTTGGATGTTCCATATGCAATGGCACTTAACATATCTTGAAGTGTATTCTGCTTTAATGTCATTAGGCACTCCAAAAGTTGACAGTGATGAGCTGGATTAGTTGAGTATTGAAAAATCATCATTATTACTGCTGAAACGGATTGACAAATGTCGGCTTGTTTGGGATCATGGCGAGCTAAGAAATGCTTTGTTTAAAATAATGTTACAAAAAAATAATAATTTGCTTACTAATTGTAAAAGGAAGAATATAATAGCAAAGAGTATTAATAATGTCTTGATGCAAACTGGGAGGAAGGACAGCAATGGTAGAGGCCGTTAAATAGGGTAAATTATCAATTAAATCATGATCCAAAAAAGGTAAAAGGCATCCCAGACATTGAAGTAGCGCCTGTCCAAACACTAAAAACAAAATCAAGATTAAAATATTAATTTTAAAAATATTAACAAGCTTACCATGGAGTCCATTAGTTATGAGAGGTGCAACTTCGATCAATGGTATAATAGAATTATACAAGCCTTTGTAATCTAGATTTTGAAAAAGGCCAATACGAACACTATCCATTTCCGGGTTTTTCAATAGATCGAAAGGTGAATTTTGAACATCTTTTAGCACACCTGAAATATTTTATACCAATGATATAGCTTTTCCGCGAGAGTATAGGTATTCTGTTATTTACTTACGTCAAGAAAAAATGATATTTTTTTTTGTTTTTTTTTTTTGTACATTATCTAGTCTCACTACATTAGGCGCTTGATCGCATTCGGACCTCTTGCTGCCTTTAAGTAGCATGCCCGTAGGAGTGGGAAATTCGAAAAAAGTTGATTTTCGCTCAGAACTTTACAGATATCATAACTTTTTATGTTGTAGGTATATACTCAGTTGCGTCATACCTTTTTTCCTCTCTTTTTTATTGCCTCATCAGATAGGTAACCAGATTTGGAAATGTGATTTCTTCTTATTTAGCCGTAATAATAAAATTCATTAACTCCAAATATGGGGTAAAAACTAAGAAACGAAGCAATTCGTTCTTCTATTTCGAGACATGAGAATGACAGTACTTAACCATTGTCTAAATTTAAGGAAACACTCATAGAGTCCTGAGAATCTAAAGATTTTTTTAGTCTTGGGTAGGTTATTCTAGTGAAGTTACTTCTAAAGTAAGCTAGAGAAGGTCACCTAGAAAAAGCATATTTGATGACAAGGTCCTATTTCTCGCAGAGTAAAGGAATGGAATTATTGAAAACTAAATCAGCTTGACACCCGTTTCTATGTCTATACCACAAACGATAAAACTAGAAAAATCCTTTTATTCCTTTTGTATGTTGCATCTTAGTCTATTTCGCCATTTGATGATAGAAGCAAGCCACTTGGCACAGGTGCTAAAGATGAACTTTTACATGGATACCAAACCTAGCCAAGGAAATAATTGGTTTGTTTCAACTTTGACCGCATCATGGCACCATCCTAAACTCAAAAAAAAAAATCGGTTCAACAAAGCTGTTCTGCAAAAGGGCAAAATCAAACTTATCAGATACAGCTCAGCGAGTGGGTGCATGCCAACTCAATGGAGGTAAGGCAAAGACGGTAAGGTAACTTTCATACCCAAGCCAGGGAAAAGGGACGCTACTATTCCGAAGTGTTTCAGATCATGCCTCACGTCGATCTCACTGAAAACAGCTGAGAAATTTGTAGATCATTATGGCCACGGGCAATTTCGAAGGAACAAGCTGCGACCTCATAGAAAAAGCACGAAGGAATGGTTTCAGTCTGTGGGACTGAATCTAAACTCTTCGAAAACCATACTGTTAATATTCACAAGAAGCACAAAACTCCCAAACCTGAGAAACATTCGCGTCAATCGAAGTAAACTCAACTGGATACAAGAAGTAGAAATTTCAGAAATAACTCTAGATTCTAAACTTTTTTGAAACCGACGCGTAGAAAACACAAAAAACGTAGCAATCTCGGCACTAATGGTCTGCAAAATCATTGCGGGTGAAACGTGGGGCTGTAACCCATTAATCCTGCGACAGATGTTGGTATACCATGATAGTAACTATAATATAGCCGAACCCAGATAGAAACAGCTAGGAAACGCTTATTAAGAGCTGCAAGAAGATCTTCATAGAATAGAGCAATGGGCAAAAACCTGCAGCATGAAACTAAACGAAGAGAAGTGCACAGTACTCAGTATTGGAATAAACAACACAATTATACCCTATTCACTAAATGGTACCAATCTAAATAACGTCGATCAACAGAGTGATTTAGGCGTCATCATCAGCGCAGACCTCAAATGGGAACCACACATTCATAGGATAGTGAAAAAAGCAAACTCGTTCATTTATTGCATCCAAAAAGCATTTTCAGACCACTCAACGGATACCATATTGAAACTATATAAAACTTATATTAGGCCAAAACTAGAATAATGCGAAACAATATGGAACCCTTACTTTGTAAAGGACATCGAGCTATTAGAAAAAGTTCAAAGACGTGTAACAAGAATACCACCAGAATTATCACAGTTAGACTATACTACAAGACTACAAAGACTTAAATTGACAACTCTACGAGAAAGGCGTTTAAGAGGAGATCTTATTGAGACCTACAAAATTTTAAACCCATATTATAATGCTACTCTTAATATCTTCCATGCGAATGCAAACATACACCTTCGAGGACACAGCAAAAAACTGGAAAAAGAGAAGAACGCAAAACTACCCCGTAAAAACTTTTTGACAAATAGATTTGTCTATCATTGGAATGCATTATCCGAAAACACTGTGAGCGCTCCAAGTATTAACTCATTCAAAAACAGACTAGATAATCAACGGGAAGTGCTGACTAGTGTGAACATTCACTTCGGACTGTAAATGAACAAGCTGAATATTTTGAAAAGCCAAAAAAGAACCACGGAAATTATGACAACAGTTTCATCGGTCATAACCGTTTACTGTTGTAACTAATAATAATAATAATAATAATAATAATAAAACTTGTGTGTCTCTGTGCAGGAGCAATGGGATCATGTCCAACTGCGGCTCTAGAAGTAATGCTAGTCCTCACACCACTCCATACAATAGGTCTGTTCTCACAGAAATCACAAACCAGAGCGTTTTTGATTGGTCCAAATCACCAACAACCAGTTTTCTGACTATTTCCAACCAATGAAATTCGCTCTGGTTGGCTTGTGATTTCAGTGAGAACAGACCTAATAGTGAAGCGGGTTGGCAATGGATCATATCTTAGACTGGCGAAGATCGGTATTCAAGGAAAAGCGCACTTTCGCAGAACTTTTCCTCTCCCAGACTGTGCACAACTTATGAATCTAGGAGATGCGATTGTCGAGGACATCAGTTTCGAGAATTTTTTTTTCATCTTAGTTCGAAAAAAAAATGGAACATAGAATCTAGTTAGTCGCTGAAAGCAAACCTCATCAAATGATATACAGGCGGTTCCAAGACTACTGAGGGAACTGGAGCAGGAGTAAGTGGGCCACGGACCAGATACTCGGAGCCAATGCTTAAATCACTAAGCATCTTTCAAGCAGAATTGCGGGCATTTCAACCTGAACAGATGATATTGGAAACGGGACCTTATAATAATGTCTGACAGCCAAGCAGCTGTCAATGCATTGAGCTTCCCAGTTTCCAGTTTTGAGATAGTTGGAAATATCTACAGAGACTCAATGAGTTAGGAAGGGAGAGCAACCCTCCTCTGGATGCCTGGACACATAGGGGTTGAGGGCAACGAATGCATAGACAGTTGCGAGAACAGGAGCTTCTTCTCGCTTTACTGGGCCAAAACGATTCTACGCACTCCAAAAAATCTTCAAAACGGAAGAGAAACGGGAAGAAGAACAAACAATGGCTAGAACCGCCAGGACTAAAAAATCAGAACTGCTGGACAACCTTAGCAAGAAGGTGGAGAGACACCTCACCATCTTCTACTGAACTGCGATGCAGTTAGTCGTTTAAGGATGAGCAATCTGGGGCGTCTTCTTGTACAGTTTAAGACATTTCATGTCTGGAAAGACTGGATATCCTAAGATTCCTATAGAACTTAGAACTACATGCTTTGAGCAGGAAACCTGAATTTAGCAGCAGGCAGAGGGGTACAGTAGATCAACTTTGGTCGCAGTGCAACTGACCTCCAACACACACAGTAATATGGTAACCTATAAAATCAATGGATATTTTAGAGGATAATAATTTTTGTGTAGGGAAAAGAGAGCCATGTTGTAAAGCACACTTCACAGTTCGCTATTTTCATCTCCGGAAAAAAAAATTGCAGGGAAGTTTATGACGGGCATGTGCACATCTCTTTCACCATAGCTCCGGACCTATTTTTCTACCATCTGCGCATGCAAGTTTCAATATTTTTCGTGTTGCCATCTGTACCACATATCCTCGAAAAGTGACAATAGGGGCCTATTTAATTTATCTATTCATACTTTGTTTGGATTTCTGATTCAAATGGTTTATTTTTGATTAATTAAGGTCTGAAAACAGGAAAAAATTGCCTTAATTTGAAAAACAGTTGGCGTTCATCAATATTCCCGTGGTTGGTAATTCTGAAGCATGTAAGCTTGAAGATGAAAACTGCAAACTGTAAAACCGTTACAAATTTGTAGCAGCAATAAACTTGTAGGCAGAATGCTTGCAAGAAGGAAAATAGCGATCTGTAAAGCGGTGTTAATAGTATATTTATCTACCTCTGGCTTTAAGGGTTCGTTTATATAGATGTAAAGTTTTGGAATATTTTGCATCTTGTGTAATAAATTCAATTCATTCTCCCAAATTAAAAAATCACAGGTAATTGTTACACGTTGTTATGTCAATTATTTATACCTTGAAAAATATTTGACAACACTCAAATTAATATTGTTGAAAAACAAATTTAAAATGACAACGTGAGCGAGGAATTTTTATGTCATTATTGTCATTTTTTCTTGTCGTAAATTATATAGCACAGCAGCCCACTGCGAGATAACCATTCCCATTGCATTGGATATCATCGAGAGTCCCCTTGTGGTAAACTTTGATAATAGGTTTGTTCGGACTTAGTTCAGAATCAATTTCGAATTGAACTGCGCTTGCGCATTTGTTTATATATGTTCGATATAAACAAATGCACTAGCTCATAGTTCAAGTCCGAACAAACCTAATAAATAATTCCTGTGATGCTGCCGATATCAAAGTTGGTCACAGTTTCTCGAATAAATTAATGGACAAAAAACAGCTAAATTTTATTTTCTCTCGAAATAATTTCGTATACCATATTCTCATCATTCACTCTGGACCCACAATTTCTCCCACATTGATTGCTTATCCAGTCCTCGGCGGCTGGTCGTTGTAGGTCTGTTCGCAAAGAAATCCCAAACCATCAGTCAGAGTGAATTTCATTGGTTGAAACTAGTTTTTGACTGTTTTCCACCAATAAAGTTCGGTCTGACTGGTTTGTGATTTCTGTGCGAACAGACCTGTGGTTAATCAGGTGGAATTGGTTTTCTCAAGGATACTGTCATTCGGCGATCCTGCCAATTTATTGTAAGTACCTATCAGGGGCTGATGAGGTAGGTCCGATCGGCCCTGGATCTCTGTCTCAAGACCACCAGAGCCGCCGGCCCTTTGATTCGGGAAGGGGAGAAAAATTGTATGTTTAAAGGAAGCTTTAATATTCGACCCACCGGGCATTTGCTCGGTCTCCCGGCGGTCCTATCCGCCCCTGGTACCTTTCCTTGTTAAACAACGCTGGTGGTATTTTTACAAGCACCCCAGGTGTTCCATATGGGTAGTCCAGGTTCACATCAGTAGAGCAGTGTCGCCTTATATGCGGTATAACGATGGCATAGTATAGTATAGTAATAGCATCTATATCGTTTATGACAAAAACCTTTTCTGGGAAGTCCAAAAGCTAAGGCTCACTTTAGTCGGTGTTGAATTTTTGCATCAATTGATACCATCGTCAAAAAAAAATCTCTTGAGATATGGGTGCATTAGAATTTGGGGCAGACTGGTATAGGATTATTGTCTTTATCCGTGATGAGTTCTAGACCGTTACTTTCGTATGCGTGCTTAAATGCACTTGCCAGGCGAGCGCTATCATCAGCACATTGAAATCGTTTATGTTGTCATGCAGTAAACGAAGCATTTTTGTTGATAATTTTAGGCGGAACGAAAAGAAGTATTTTGGAAAGAGCTACTCGATTGAAAAAGTCGAACGCTTTGACAAGTTCTAAGAATTCGATATGCATTAAATGCGATATACACAGGTTTGCTTTGCTCTATGGATTGTAGGCTCTGTTCTCACAAGAGGATGTTTTCGCATTTGGCGGCCCGATCAGAAGAAGTTTTTTTTTTGACGTTTCGTCTACAACTGTGGTGAACAATCTCAGAGAGCGGACTACCTGGTATTAATGAGCGCTTTTCCTAATAGTTGGTTGATTGGAAGGAATGTCACTCAGATGGTTTTGGTTGGGTTTCTGAGGAATTTTGTTGACGTCGTCATAATTCACGAGGGAACCGTTCTTTAGCTAGGAGTTCCTGAAAATGCTCCTTTAATCGAGAGGTTGCTTTTATCGCGGTGAGGAGCGAGCTGGTGTTGTTAGAGGTTACTAAATGTTTCAATTCTGTTGACTTTTGTTGTCTACCACTCGTTTTTCAGAATCTTTGCTCTTTTTTTGTTCATATCAAACCAATCGTGATGATTGCTTGTGAAAGTGCCCGTCGGTTCTTGGCATGAAGACAGCATTAATATTCCAAGCAGCGACCAGTGCTGCTCAATATCGTTGGGATATTCAGCATTTTCTCATTCAATAGGAGCTGGAAATTTGTTTTGGTGTCTTTGTTTTCGAGTCGCTTAAATAAAACAGAACTCTTCTTTTTTATTATCGTCGGAATCTAGAGTAGTAGCGCATGCATTGATTACAGTGACTCTTTGGTTGTTTAAGAAATTGACGCAGATTCACGAGCCTTTCACTGATCCCATAAGCAAGCTCATCAAGATTTATAGTGGAGCTTGTGGACTCGGGGCTCATTTTCATTCGATCTTTTCCCCTTTCAAGAAGAAAGGGTCGATGATGGATCTCTTTAGCTCACATGACACGAGGGCCGTTCTCCATTATGGTCTATTGCTGGCGTCCGCACATTCCAGATGGCTATGATTGATTTTTGTGTGCTTTTTTTTGTATAGGTATACCTACTAACTAAAATATATTATAAACTAACCATCAATGGCACTAAAATTACTTTTTCAACGGCATTCTCTTGAAAATTTATCTTTCAAGTGACGGTTTTTACCTCCGTTCAAAAAAAACATTTTTGGGTGCCGCTGCGGGAGATTCCGTCCTTACTTATTTCCGCTCTCTATAACTCAAAATAATCCTTACATAAATACCTCAAGGGTACTATTCGAACATATATACTCATTAATTTATCCAACATCTATCAGCATAGCGGTTCCATGAATGTTTATTGTCAGGTTTACCAAGAGGGCATTCTCTATTCAATACTCGATGAGATCATTATTTTGCAGTGAGAGGGCACTAACAGGGTTACCAATTTGGAGTTGCAATGTGAAAATGAGATTTGATTTTCTGGGCAACAACAACCCACACATACTCAAAATTGGTGGACCCCTATTAAAAACATAAAAAATTAAACCTTTAATACGTACTTAAAAGAGTTTGGGAGAAGTATTTTATTGTGTTTGCTATGTCAACTCCAGAAGGGGGTGGCAAAGTACCCTGCATGAGTCGGAGTTGGTAATCATAGAGACTGCGGATTTTAGCTGTAACTGATTTAAAAAATTATTGTGTATCTATATCTATTAAAAAATTTGTGACATCTATAAAATCTACGTACGTAAAAAATCTAAAACTTTCTTAACAATTTTATAGAAAGTGTGTTTTTTTGGGCAAAAAGACACTTGTAATAATATGTACCTACCGTCAATAGATAAACAAACATAGGTCTTAGATTTAGTAATTATCTCTGTTACCAATTAATGTAGCGTTTAGATAATTATATTTGCAAAAAGTTTTTTTTTAAACTACCTATTCGTCATATTTATTTGGATTCAGGACCTTTACAGCATGATTTTTATCATTGCCTTTTCACTAATAATATTTCTTGATTATTATAAACAAATTATTTTTGTTTAGTTATAAGGTACAAGCTTGAAAAAACAATATATCTTATTGTTTCTCTATTTTTACTCACAACATGTTTATCTTATCCAGTCAATTTGAAAGATGTCATCAAGTTAATGAATATCTACTCTACAATAAAAATTAATACATTTGTATCTGCCAAATGGGGGACCATAGGCAAATGTAGATCCATAAATCTTATTCCACATAAAAAATTAAATAAGTTTTCAAAAGAATTTTTTGTTATCTCTACAATTACGAATATAGAAATGAACGATAATGTTATTTTGATTCTGGAAAAAAATTATAGTCAAGCTGAATTAAAAGCTAGGTAAGTTAATGATAAGAGTAAGAAAAAGTTAATAAATGAACAGGATAAAACTAGCTAAAGATTTTAAGTATCTTCACGGTACAAATGCCTAAATGACAATAAAGGATTATTTCAAAATTTACCATCTAAATACAACATTTAAGGGTTTGTACTTAAATTACATAGTATATGGATAAATAGAAAAGTAAAACGCCTCAAAGCACAAACATATGATTTTTTGACATTTACAAGTATATTTATTATTTTCATTTAGTTTGGGTCATGTTTCAAATAATTTAGATTTTAGATTTCTCTAATGTATATACTGAATGCGCGGATTTTTTAAAATTTTGTATAGATAATATTATTGGGAAATCAAACTATGCCTATAGGTACAGAGTATTTCCATAATAATTCAATACTATTTTAGGAGTCAAAACTAATAGTCCAAGGGGGATCTGAAAAGAGGGTTTACCTCAACATAATTAGAAGCTAACATTTTTTGGGGGGGATCGGTCCATTTTCATGTGCTAAATAATATCAAGTTTGCGACCTTGTACTTCCATAGGGTTTTTAGTTAGGGGTGTTTTTTAGGGGTAATTTGCAGTTTATGGAGAACGCTGCTCAAAGAGATGGTCCAATCAATGAACTATAGCTAAAAACTGGAATGCGCACACATTGCCATATCTGCCAAAAAAAATGAAGCCATGAAAGACAGATGCCACAAGGAGGAATGTTGTTTTTTTCTGTTGCTCGCTGACATATGACGTTTTCGAAAGTTTGGTCATATTTCCCTTCACAGGTTTCATCAATTGGAATACGTGTTGGAAGCAATTTTCGCCATTTAACATAATGAGTGCGACAAAAACAGGTATCCCCTCCGCAGCAGCCGCACTAGGCTTCAAGTTCGTCCTTATGTGTTAGCATTCCAGTTTTTGGTTATAGTTCATTGGGTCCAATAGCAAAAAGTTTCAAATGATTGTTGTAGCTGAAGTTGTTTGCTATAAAAAAACTCCGCGACCAGCACCCCTTTATCTTCTATAGTTTTTTTCCGCAGCGTCTTGAATAGTAGCATGTTTTTGTTCAAGGTCACTGAATCAGCGTTTCGCTTGTTTGTACGCATTTGCACCAAATGCGTAATCCGATTTTAATTGTTAAAAGACCACATTATTGCTAATGAAATGCACTCTTCAATGCTTTTTTGTTCGAATTTTTTGCTTGAAAATTAAGCGAGCACGAGCTTGCCTAATGTGCGAGGAAGTTGTAACTTGCATCGAAAACTACCCCTTTCTTGCATTCACTGTAATTTCTAAAGGGGGCAAATATTTGGTGACAGTTTTCGACAATCCGCAGCCCATTTATTCCTCTCATAATGCTCCAGCAGATTTTTTTTTTTTTTTCGTTAATTACTCAATGACTTATTGGCCTGAACACGTCGCGCGGAATTTTTCAAAAAGTCAAAAAAATAATAAAATTGCCTCACAGCGCTGAAATTTGGTACGATGGCTTTATTTCATTGTTCTTGTGAATATACGGCAATTTTAATTGCTTCACATGACTGCTGCAGTATATTCATAAGAACAATGAAATGAAGCCATCGTACCAAATTTCAGCACTGTGAGGCAATTTTAATTTTTTTTTGACTTTTTGAAAAATTGTCAGCTAGGGCGTTCCTGGCAAACTAATTTAGCCAAAGTGTTTTTGAATAATTTATTCTAAAAGTCATGTCTAGTATCCATAAATAAAAAACTGCCTTTTCAATTCGATCAGGTATGTAATTTGAAAGTTGTTGAGCCATAGGAAAATTTCTGCAGAATGGAAAATTTGAAGCGTGGCTGTACAAAAAGGACAAAACTAGTAGTAGGTCAAGATCAACAATAAAAGGAAAAAAAATGGTGACTGACAACTGCCCACACAAGAAGAAAAAGACACCAAAAAGGGAGAATAGAGGTAGGGGAAGTAAGGTAAGAAAACTGAAGAGCACTTTTGCTTCAGCCTTCAACCTAAATTGTGTGCAATCGTGAAGTTTCGCGCGAAGCTAACTACACACAACCAAAGTGAAAGTTTGTACAGGTAGAACCGTTATTGCCTATATTCATTAGTTTGCAATTTCTAAATAAACGTTAAAAATACATTTTACTAATACCTACTACTTATTTTTAAATTTTGTCTTTACCAGATTTTAAAATTTTGAATTGTATAACGAGGATAAAAATTACTATTTTTTTTTATCAAAATGCAGATGAGCAATCTTCGCACACTCTTAAAGTAAAATTATTGGATAATTTATTATTGGCCCATAGGCTAACAAGTTTTATTATTTTTTTAAATTTCATTTCACTTTTTGGAGCCGCGGTACAGTTTTGTTTTGATAAGCGGTTTCATTCATAAAAGATTAATTAATGAAAACCATGAAAAACTCATGAAAATAAAAACATTGATATTTTTCAGTTTAGGATTAGGTACCACTTACGCTTGAAAATTGTTGAACCAATGAACCAATCAAAACTTCAAGGATTACCTTGCTAAAAAACTCACAGACAACGATTAGGTACAGTTTGCTTTACTCTGATGCTAGGAGGCTCATTGACATGAACTATTAAACGATGTACGTCCACAAATGCGATTGAAATCGAATAGATTTATCTAATAATATCCATTGTGAACTAATTTACAGAGTTCTAAGTATACTTATTTGTTTTTGTCAAATATTGTTTTGACTTATGTTCTCATGAGAAAATGTGAACAAATAAATACCGGTGTTATAATTTTGGACTTGACATTGTTTGTATGAAATATAGGAAGCTTTAATTTCAAGAATCTAAATTATTTCAAACATGGGTCAATATTTCTGTGATCAATTTGTGTGATACATGTGTGCTTTGACGTAAAAAAAAAGGATGAAAGTTGCTTACATGCAGCAGCTCTTGTACCCATGTTGACAATGCAGTCACAATAATCAAAGGCTAGGGAAACACTGAGGTCACATTGTTTAAAACGTGCAGGTATCTTCAACATGGGGGCAGCTTGATTTATCCCATAACAGATCAATAGTGTTGAAAAATAAGGGCTAATTGAAAGAATCTACAAGAACAGAAGGACAAAAACACGTGTTTAGGGCCCAGGGCCACAATCCTCGGAAAAATCGATACGAAAGGCATCTTGGATATCACTCGCGTTCGTACTTTTTTCTATCTACAACTCAGCTAAGAAACACTTACGTCGAATATTCGGAAACGGGCGGTTTAGTAGACGGTAAGCCATAATTTTTAACAAATTCGGTCAATCAAAATGCATCCCCCATCACCTGACTTGATATTATCGATCGTATCCCGACTTCTGCTGATGCGCTAAAAATTCCGCGATTCCGACAACATGTAAAACATCTAATGTTGCACTACAGAACACAAATCCCAAATATAGCGATAATGGTTACAACAATACATTTAGCCCAAACGGGACACGGTTCCTATCAACAACATCCAGGTGAAACAACAATTATGTGCAGCAAATGAACATCAATCTTTAAACTGGACTTACAGCAAAGGGCGTTTATGAATACTGAAAAAATTTTGGAAGATTTTTCACTAAACTTGGTCGCAAGAAAAAAGAATAATTGCAGCTTTTTTGTTTTCAAATAAAACAGGACAGAACTGTGTAGGATTCTCGGAAAACTTATAATTTTCGAAACTGCGCAGGACTTCTCAACGCCTTGGGGGAGGATTTATCTCTCCCCCAGTTTCCTGCCTTTTGGTCCAGTTGTCGAGTTATAATCAATAGTTTTATAACTTCGCGCTGCTTCCCTTTACTTCTGTCAACAAATAGGTATTTACTTCTGTCAACAAATAGGTACATTAACATGGCACAATATAAGCATTTTTTGGAAACCTGTAAGCATTAGTTCGCCCTTTTTTATTTACTAATTGAGTGTTTTAGAATCTTTTCCACAAATGCATGCGTCTCCCTGTAGTTTAACCCACGAAACCCAAAATAAAGTTGTTTGGCTTAATCGAGTAGGCGTGTTTTGTGCATCTAGGTAACTTAATGTCTAATTTTACGAAATATATATAATAGTGCATTCTGAAATTGCGTATATAGGTACCTACTTATATTTAACAAATAGCTCAGAAAGATATATCATGTGAGACGAATTTTCAAATTTAAAATTTATTCAGATAAAATAATTTACAATCAATCTTCAAACAATCAACACCTAGATAATAACTTATTTCATTTTACAATATAGAAGGAAATATTATTAAAGTCTCGCATTCTAGTAATGTCGGTCGTATCGATACGGATTTGAGGAAATTATACTTATACATATTTTTGATGTTTATATCTGAAGTTACTATATGTATAAGAAATATTATTTTCAAAATTGGAAAAGACCGTACGCTAATTATTTGAATAAAGGCCTATATAAATACTTTTTTTTATTAGGTATCGATTTTATCACAGCATTATCAGTTAAGAAGTTAATTGATATACCTACATACAAAAATTTACAAGATGACAAACTCATTATCATCATTTCAATAATTCTTTCTTCTTTGTCATCTTCAATAACATAAAAATATCCTTTCCAGCCATTGATGCGCAATTCATTATCTTGGTCGCAAGTTGGAGTTGAAATACACACACTCTTTATTCCGGAATCAAATGAAAAAACTTGCTCCAAATTCACTGTCACACCAGATGCATAATAGCCGAACCTCTAGCTATTATTGTATCCCCGCGTGACGTCATCGGCAACAAATATCTTAAACTTAAATGCAGCTTAAATTTTCTTTAACAGTTTAAGAAAAAACTTTGGACATAAAAATGTGAATGTTTCCAAGACCTCTTTTAAGCTTCCTCGAATTTACCGCCAAATTCCCACACTAGCTCTTTGCGTGACTATGGTAGGTAGGTAGGGGAAGTTCGAGTTGGGTCCCAATTCTAGCAGGTATATTTAATTATGGTCTAGTTGGGTCCGGCCTAGGGCCTAATTGGGTCCGCAATAATATTCAAATAATTGAATAAAACTGAATTTTAATAGGACAGTGTTGCCGATTTAGGATAGTTTTCTGAATTTCATGGTAGGTACCCCAAGTAATTAATTGGAGGTTCGAGAGGGTGGTATTACAGGTATATTTCTTATTGTTATAAGGTTGGTACCCCATGGTTATTAAGTTCACTCGCTATTCAAATTCGTTTGATGTTAATTGAGCTGTTTAAAGTGTTGTTAGTGAGAGTAGATAAGTTAGAAAAATGGAATGTACGCTACTTTCAAGTGAGAAAGGAAAATCGCTGTTACTGATTAACGGGTACAAATTTTGCTTCCAAAAAGACTTGAAAGGTGGTGTAAAAAGGTGGATATGTACAGGGTGGTCCAAATTGGACACTTTCTTATGGAAACACCCTTTATTTTTAGAGATAGAAAAAAATGAACCCCCCACTCTGAGGCTCGAATTTCATGAAACTTTGATTGGTGCAAACCGCATTTTGATATCTTCAACCGTTTAGCCGCTAGAGGGCGATTCTCGATTTTGAGCAATACTGTGAAACCTTCATAACTTTTTTGTTTATGAAAATAATTGATTTCCGTAAAGACTTTCTAAGAGCACTTTTTTAAGAAGAATTCAGTGACGTTCTCAGTTTTTTTCTTATTGACTCGGATTACGAGACATTGACCAAAATCCGATTTTTTTCAATAGAACACCCTATATATTAATAGCTTATTGGAAAGCTCTGCTTTTGCTGATTTGAATGATATAAAGTTCAATAGGTTTATCCCTAACAGTTTCCGAGAAAAAAAATTATTTCTGTTTTTGTCATAAGAAACAATGTGTTAGAAAGAGACCTTTCTCGTTTTCCTTACAGATATAAAGTCCTTTCCCAACACATTGTGTCTTATGACAAAAATCGAAATAATTTTTTTCTCGGAAACCGTTGGAGATAAACCTATCGAATTTTATATAATTGAAATCAGCAAAAGAAGAGCTTTTCAATGAGCTATTAATATATAGGATGTCCTATTGAAAAAAATCGGATTTTGGTCAATATCTCGGAATCGGAGCCAAATAGAAAAAAGCTGAAAACGTCACTGAATTCCACTTAAAAAAGTGCTGCCAGAAAGTCTTTACAGAAATTAATTATTTTCATAAATAAAAAAGTTATGAAGGTTTCACAGTATTGCTCAAAATCGAGAATTGCCCTCTAGCAACTAAATGGTTAAAGATATCAAAATGCGGTTTGCACCAATCAAAATTTCATGAAATTTGAGCCTCAGAGTGGGGGGTTCATTTTTTTCTATCTCTAAAAATAAAGGGTGTTTCCATGAGAAAGTGTCCAAATTGGCCCACCCTGTACATGCAAAAAATCATTTTGCAAAGCCTTTGTGAAAACAACTGGGGAGAACCTCATAATCGAATCAACGTTGGAACATAATCATGAAAAACAACCAAATCATCTCTTAACTCGCCAAATTTTGTCTCAATCCGTCAAGAGAGCAGCTGTGGACAACCCTACGGAGAAACCCATGAAGCTGATACGTCAAGAATTATATAAATCCGATCTTGAATCAGTAACAACACACGACATTACTAGAGCAAGAAGAAATGCTTATCACGCCAGAACATCGATTTTGTGTAAACTTCCCAAAAACGTCCAAGAGTTTCAAGAAGTGATAGAAGCCAACGAGGTGAAAACAAACCAAAATGAACATTTTCTTTTGCTAAACGATAAAGTTAATCATATTGTTATTTTTTCAACAAACACTAACATAAAATTTTTAACTGGTGTTCTAGATTGGTATGTTGATGGAACCTTTCAATATTGTCCAAAATTTTTTGTACAACTTTTCACAATTCACGGCTTAAAGAATGGTCATTATATCCCATTAATATTTTGCTTATTGCCTAATAAGTCACATAATTTTCAAATTCCACACTTCTATCCACAAAACGTTACTGTAGATTTTGAATATGCTATTCATTCTGCTATTAAGCAGGTATTTCCCCTCTCTAACATTAAAGGATGTAGATTTCACTTATGCCAGGCATGGTATAGGAAAATACAACAGCTTGGTTTGTCATCCGAATATAAAAAGCAAAATGAAGCGACAGAAACAACTAAATATTTGACATATGTTTTTGGGTTACCATTTTTATCCCCACAGGATGTAGGGGATTGTTTTGGTATGGACTTTGCCTCAATTTTGCCACAAAATGAGCTAGTTATTAAGTTTTCAGATTATTTAGTAGATAATTACATTGATGAAAATTCCACGTTTCCACCCCAAGTGTGGGCTGAACACTCGTCATCCATTCAGCACAACTAATGCTTGCGAGTCTTTTCATCACCAATTTAATTCATCCTTTTATTCTGCCCACCCAAATATTCACCAGTTTATGAAAGTATTATTAGATTTTCAACTAGAAACCTATGTAAGAATAAATAGTGTTGCCAGCGTTACAAAACTACAAAGCCAAAAAACTAAATTAAAAAGGCAGTTTATTGATGCAAAAATTCAAGAACTACGTGAAAATAAGATAGACAAATTTGAATTTGTTAAAACGATATCATATCGTTTTAAAGCCAAAAATTAATGAAACAGCATTTTTTTAACAATTTTATTATACTTACCTAATATCTAATTATATTTTTGGATTTTAATGTAATTTTAGTTGTTAATTTAGGTTAAGTTGCTTTTTAGTTAGTACTGTTTTTTTATACGTTATTAATAATTCAATAAAGTTGTAAATTTGTGTAGATATATATATTTTTTTAATTCCAACAGACCCAACTATATTTTGTTAGGAATTTAGAAGTGCGGCAACAAGGCCATTTTTTTCCATTTTTTTCCTAGAATCTAAAATATCTTCTTCGGTCCCAATTCGACCCACACCTTTTTGAAGGCAGGTAAGTGGATAAGGTTTGGGACCCAACTCGGATGCGTCCGGTAGGTACAGGGTTATTGGTTATAAATGTCACCCCCCTCTATCTTTTTTATTTGACATTTTAGAAAGAAGTGCCTTGCATAAAAGTTTCATGGTTGAAATTGAATTTTTCGAAAAACTCACGTTTGCATATAGGTACAGGTAGTTTCAGGAAAGCTGGTCGTCCTCCAACTTTCTCATTTTGAATGGAATACCCTGTATACTATTGAATATTCGGATTCTACGTGATATTCTGAGCAGATTTCATGTTATATACCCTATACCTAAATTCAACTGTTTTGGAAATACTGACAGTTGAAAATTGACTTTTTTGCAACTTTGACAGGGTGTAAAACCTAAATGGTTAATTTGAGAGCAAAACCGATCTTACCTTTTTGTCTTAGATTTTCATAAACTATCAGTTGACAACAATATTTGACACCAACTTTTGAATTAAATCCATGATTGAAAATTCCAATTAAATTTAATTTCCGGTTAAATGCAAAGTTGGTGTCAAATGATAACTTATGAAAATCTTAGAAAAAAAAAATGTAGGATCGGTTTTGCTCAAAAGTTAACCGTTTAGGTTTTACAGCCTATCAAAGTTGCAAAAAAGTCAATTTTCAACCGTCAATATTTCCAAAACAGTTGAATCTAGGTATACTATAGAGTATATGACATGAAATCTCCTCAGCATTTTACCGTTAATTTTACGTAAAATCCGAATATTCTATTTAAGATAAGAAAGTTGGAGGACGACCAGCTAGTCTCGACGCACATTGCAATTCTTCGCTCTTTCTCTTGTTGAAGAAGTTTAGCAAGCCGGTCCCCTTCACCTTGTGCTCGAGCTTCTTCTTCAGGCTTCTCTTTCTTTATTCGAGCTTCTTCTTTTTCTTGCCTCCGTTTCTGTCTTCGGTCTTCCTCTTTTTAGTTTTTCTCCCTGATTTCGAGAATCGATAAAAAGATTACCCATATTGATTGCGCCCTTGTATCACTACAGTTTACACATAGGTACCTCCGTAGAGTAGAAATCAAACGAGAAGAAGTCACACGCGTTATCGTTTGTCTCACTTTAAATGGGAGGGACCCAGAGAAAAGGAAATTCTTTGTCAGCGCTAACGACAGTGGCTTCTTCTCGTTTGATTTTTACTCTACAGCATTTTAATCAAAATACTCAGGTTAGAAATTGCTTTGTTAAAACGCCATATCCTGTTTAATATCTCTTTTCCGTCTTAATTGGCTGCTAGCTAGTGTGCATTGTATTCAAGACTAGCTTCTAGTATATCCTATGTTTTATTGCTATTTTCTTTTGACAGTAGAAGCTCGAGAGTCTCTTAACACAGAAGAAGAAATTGAACTGGACCAAGAAGTTGAGGAACAAGAAACCGCAGAATCAGTTGATGAGCTGCGCGAACGTCTGGAGAACATGAAAAAATTAATGGCAGATAGAAATCAAAACAATGACAATAAGGCGCAAAGAAGAAAACCAGCCACCGATGTGATCGACGGAAATTTTCTCAGTATTATGTTTGCTTTAACATTATTCGTTATTTTAGTTGTTAGCATATATGCGTTTTATAATCTTTTTTGGGCAATTTGGAAAAGAAATTCTCGGTATCACGAAGAGTTGTAGTTGTAAGCTAAACAATTTTGTATTATCTACATATTAGGTAGGTACATGTTTTTTGCTCATCATAATAAAGTCAAAAAAAATTCTCTTAGTAGAAAAATTAGTTAATATAATAAATTTAAATAAATAATGAGAAAAGCCTGATATGCAGGAAGTAGGTTTAGAACGGTGTGTTTTTTTGATGATAAAGTAATTAGTTACCTACAGATATAAAAAGCTTATTACTACTAGTACAACACAGTATTTGTACTATTCATTTAGGTATGTGATGCTATATTATCGAATATTTACATATTTAAGAATGAATAATTTAGGCATAACACCTAAGAATAGTTGAAAAGGAAAAATAAATCAATTTATACCTAAGAACAAGTATATATCTGATTGCTTTTTAAATTACATTTTTAGGACTATTATTATTGCAAATATTCTTTGGAATAATTATTTACAACTTGAAGTCACACTATAAAAATTAAATTTAGCTAATGGCCGTTTGCACCGATCATTTTAAGGGAGGTTTAATGATAATCAACGTTTAAAGTGACATTTTAACATGTGAGAATGTCACTTTAAACGTGGATTATCGTTAAACCTCCCTTAAAATGGTCGGTGCAAACGGCCATAAGTCTTCAAAAGTGGATAACATATATGTACTATGAAGTCAGAAGCTATAAGAGGAAGGATAAAACACAGTTTAGTCCAGGTCGGGGCGGATATGCCTCGAACGACTCATGGATACTAGGATCACCGGTTCGCCCATAGTACCTACTTGGAGGTCGAGGCAATAGAATTTTTTTTCTTTCTACATTGGTTCACTCACAAAGGACAAAGCTTATACTGCCTAAGCGGACGAAGTTGAGTGGCGAATAACCCTCAGTTTGAACATGTTAAGGTTAAATTGTTCAGGAAATGAAGTTAATCCATGGAATTGGTACATTTTACCATTCATGAAATGAGGCAGATCTGATTTTTTGATATGGGTGTTGTATCTGATGAAGTGACAAATCCGAGTTTTCGACCTCAAAAGCCCACCGGATCGTTGGTAAACATTATTAAAACCGCTAAATTTTCACCCTTTTTTCATTTTATGACAATTTTTTTTACATGGTCTGACTTGAGCCTTATAAATTAAATAAATAAAAAATGAGCTTTATTTATACAATCAAATTATGAAACAGAAATCAGAGACAGCATTTAACAGGGAATGGCAAAACTCGTTCGGAAAATCATACGATGGACGTTTGCTGAGGAGACCTGGGTGCCAAGCCTGATCAAAAGCCTTGGAGACGTCCAATGCTACATTTCTGAGTTCTGAGCCAAGTTTTTCGAGAGTCGAGTTCCGTTGGTCTTTTAGAACGAAGCCCGTACTGTTTTGTCCGAGATGAGCTTATTGGTATTTCGAGGTATTTTTTTCTTTTCCATTACTTTCGAAAGTAAAGATATAAGTCAGATGGGACGATAAGTGCTAGGAAGAGTTTTCCTGCTCTTTTTCGAGATGAGCTGCACTCTGGCACATTTCCAGATAGACGAGCAAAGGCCTCGACGGTGAGAGACTGAAAACAGTTTGCAAATAATTGCCACAGACAAAGTAGCCGCAGCAGTAGGTAGCAACCAGCTGAAACCCAAATCATTTCCGACTGAAAGAGAATCTTTTGAAAAAGTCATTCATGTCAGTAACAATAGGGTACTTGCATGGAAAATTAAATTGATTATTGTTTATTGCAAACTGTAGGAAATCGAAAAAAAGTCGTTACTTTTTTTTCATTTCGCCCAAATATGATTATTTTGAAAGTTATACAAATATTCAGTTTTGTATATATAGATATACTGAGCATGTGCGACGTCACAACGTATTATAAGTTATGACGTCAGAAGGACATTTCAAAGCGTTGTATCTCCGTCAATTTTTGACTAACAAGAAAAAGAAAAAACACGTGTTCACTTATTTTTCATGGACGATCGAAATCAGCAATAAAAAATTTGATGCAAGGGGCATATTATTGCATCACAGGAACGAAGAAATTAATAATACATTTGAGGTAAGTACGTACTTACCAGTTTATACATTGATAGATCACAGAAAATCATGAATAATGCAAGTTGACAGCTTTGACCGCAGTTTCCAGGAGTTTTCATAATTTCCTGGAATTGATGGTTGTGTAGGCATAGTAATTTATTTTGCCGTAATAGGATATCGTCAATTCAGGGTAATGAACTTTCTTAGTGAAATTGTACGCGTTTTGTAATCGACACAAAGTTTGGTAACTCCGTCTCTCTTGGGTTACCCGTGCAATTGGCGATGACCACGCACCTGAAGACTCTTAACGACCTATTCTACAAGCATATACTATCTACTAATGACCCACTTCTTGTTGTTTGGTCATGGGTAAGTCTTCTAGGTTGTTCATGGATTAGATGAACACAACCAGTATTGATTGATGCCTACTGATGTTCGTTTTACGAGTTTCGCCATTTTTACATTCCAAGATAACCATCCTTCCTCTCACAGACGAATTGTTGAGCCTTCTTCAGTTACTTAGAGGAGAGATGTTGCTAAGATAACTCGAACTGTCTCAGAATGTCACTGGGATGATTTATCTGCTTTCTTTCCTCTATGTTTTTCAGGCTCATAGGAGGCTATATGGCATCGCCCATAGATATTGATTTGAATAGTATTGTGGCGAAGTTGTGCTATTCGGACGGCGAGATTCCTTGTGAGTTTACCTTGGCTTCCTTAACGAGGTATTTCTTGCAGTTTTGGTGTAGTTGTAATAAGTTCAACGCAGCTCCCAGAACCATCGGAGAAAGCAAAAAAAATGAAAAACAAGATGCCCATGGTGAAGCACAGAAATATTTCGTCGGAGATCTCAATATGGAAGGCTGCTAAAGGATAAGTAAGCGAAATCTTGCGAAGATAACATCAGGAACTTTACTAGGATGGCTTGCTGAATGAGGCGTATCCTGCTCTCTTGTTCCATTTTTGGCGAAACACACGGTGCACCTGTACACTGAGAGCAACATGGCGAACGGACTGGCGTTCGCTCACTTCGAAACATGCTCGTGAAACCATTTTCAGGGTGAGAACGAAGTATACGCGAGGGGAGAGCCATTTTGACTCATTAAGTTAAGTCCATACCCAAAATAAACTTATCTTCTATATCAACAATTACCCACGTGTGATAGATCCTAATAATTCCTAGTCTCAGGTCGATTCCACCATGTACATTTGCGGGCTCTCCAGACTCTCTGCACAGAATAATTCCCCGTGGAAAACGTTTCGCATTGAAATTTTTGTTTGCTGTCCACTGTTAGGATTTTCCTTCAATAATCAATAATCAAACTTTCCGCAGTCTTTTGTAGTATTTATTGATATATTTGAAAAAATTGTCCATTTTTTTACAGTGGAGCTTTGTAAATTACAAAAAGTAGACAGAATACTGAAGTTTTCTTTTTGTAATTGATATATCCTTGTGGGCTTCCCTCGGACTAGCAAACATCCACCCAACTGTGAGTAATTGAAGTTTTCTTGGCTTTTCATTGAAGTCTACAGTTTGAATTGTACTTTTTTTCTGCAGCGATAAGATTCTGATCTAATTGCTGCCGATACCAACCGTTCGTTTTTCTTAAGTTAAGTTTCTTTATTGTGTCTTATTCAATATCTCCTATTTGTTCTTTTTCTTCTTACAGAGCTCTGATGTTTTGGTAGTCAGAAACAGGAAAATACCAATGGCGTACACTCGATCGTCCTACGAATGGAGAACCATACGAAAATATACAAAACTGTGGGATTATTCAAAAACTGTACATAGGATTGAATTCATACTCACTTTTATGAACCCAACAAATGTGGACGTAGAACAAGAACAACAACTTTGTTTTTTCCTATTTGCATAATAAACGTGCTGTGTTGTAATTATGTCTCCATCCCAACAGAGCACCCCAAAACCACAATACCACTTTATGGTATAGGTACACATATACATTATAATAAAAAGTGCCTCATTTACAGAAAAATCTACAATATGCAATTTTTTTCGTGGCGGCGTTCGCTCTAAACGTCTTGGTTTTCAATTATAAATAAATAAGTGGGGTTTTTATGAAAATCAGGTTAACTAAATACTTGATATCTACGCCACTGAACATCTGAAAAAAATTTATATCCATCCACCCTTTTAGTAGGAAATTCTCTTCTCTACAATTTTTCTTTTTTGATATTTTTTCCTAAAATGTTCAGTTTTAGAGTTATTAGGAAAAACGTAAAAAAGGTAGATTTCACCCGACCTAAGGGTTGATTTTGGGGTGACGGGCTCAACGCCTCAACGCTGGGGTTTCAGAGGGTATTAAGTATCCTAAAATAAAGTATCTTGCAAACTTTCAGCTTGTCTCTATAATTTGTTGAACATCATCCTGTTTAGCCCCTGATGTACTATATTTACCATAGAATAATCTATATACTCGATATTTCTGGAAACTTGATTTCAAATATTAAGTCCTGTGGCGAAGTTAAAATTCCCATACCTATGGTAGGTAACCTACCTTGTCTAATTTTTAAATGAAACACTATGGAGTGTTCCAGAAATATCACTTGGACTCTTTCGATGTCAAAACCAATTATACAGGGTGCTACAAATTGGAGTGCATGCATGGGGATATCGGAAACCGTAAGAGATACGAGGTTGGTTAAATTATGGCAAAGTTGCGTAATTTGATGCTTAACAAAACGCCGTTCTGTAATTTGAGAAATTTCAAATACTTCCGGAGATATCCGGAAAAAACCGAAATTTGCCAAAATCGTTTTTATTTTTTCCTTAGTTTGTTTGAAGAAATATGTCAAAGTAAATGTCACTTCATTGTAGCCACTTTTTCTGCGTTACAAGATGATATCATAAAATTTGAAATCCGACGTTTCGTCTTTGAACCACCATCATCAACTTTATTTTTTCAAATACGGACCTCAACTTTTTTTTCTGTTTTTTGTTAGTTTTTGACTTGTCAAATGTAGTAGTGTATTGCAACAATTGATAGAAGAAATATTTCTGGGGAAAAATTAGGTAGGTAAATGGTGTTGAGATGCTCATCTGCCTCATCTAGCTCATCTTTGTCTAACGCATTGTTTTTGTCATAAACTTTTCTGTCTGACACATTATTTTATGCAAAGCACTTAATAAATAAATTTTTATTATTTGAAACATACCTAAATATAATTTCAGATTTCAGGCCGGCGGAAAATGATACCTAATGCCTGGTTTATACTTCTGAATTAAGAATTATAAAAAAATTCTAATACGTAGGTAAATAATATTCAGGTATGAATTAAAAACGACTTAAATAAACAAATAGCAATCTAAAGACCGGTTTATCAGTGGACGGTTTTTGAGTTTAGCTGTTGGTTAACTAATAATTATCAATTGGTTAACCGCCAGCTTAACTAGATAACCGTCTACTGAGAGATGGCTGACATCGACATAAACCTCAAGACATACGAGATATTGTAAAAAAGGTTCGAAGTGCCGATCTCTGGCGAACACATAACTTTCTGCTTCAGTTCATCTGTCATGTCTGTCAACCTCCTTTCAACATCCCCTGGACGAAGTGATTGACTGGGAAAAAAGAAGGATTACTTATTGTTTACCAAAAATAGAAAAATAAAAAAAAATTGAAATTTATCTATGTAGTTATGAAAGGTATCTTGGTTGTAATACTAGGTTGACCACAATTTCTAGTATCTTGGTATTATTGAACTACAAACCTGGTTTAATTAAAACAAGAGTAACCTCTGCCTCTGTTATTCTGTATATGATGAAAATGTATTATCAGTTCAATAGAAGGAAGTGCGCGCTTTAGAAATGTATCTCAACGCTTACCCTGAGAGACCTAAACCAAGCATTTCCTTTATTCGAAAGCTGGATGCAACTTCACCTAGGTATGGTTCGTTTTCCAAACAACGCGGAAAATATGGAAGCAGAACAACAAAGGCAGAGGTTGCTCTTGTTTTGAACTAGGTTTGTAGTTCAATAATACCAAGATACCAAAAATTGTGGTCAACCTAGTATTACAACCAAGATACTTTTGTTTTGCTTTGTTTTTCTATTTTAGGTAAACAATAATCCTTCTGTTTCCACGCATCAGATTGCCGCAGAAGCAAATATTCGGACCCTGAACAAAGTAAAATGCTGGAGAATATTAAGAAGCAATAATTTCAAACCTTTCAAAATTCATGTGAGTCAATTACTTCGTCCAGGGGATGTTGAAAGGAGGTTGACATATTGCTTCTGGTTGCGCGACCAGATTAATCGCAACGGAGATGCATTTTCACATAAGATTATTTGGACGGATGAATCGAAGCTCACAAACTGCGGCATATTCAACCATCACAACGAACATATTTGGTCATCGAAAATCCTCGAGAAAATAGGGAAATCCGGCCTCAAGTTCGATTCAGTATAAATTTTTGGGCAGGAATATTGGGAGGTCGCACATTTTAGGGCCATATCTTTTTGAAGAAAATTTAATTTCCGTTAACTAAGGTTTTTAAAAAGAGACTTTCAAGAGTACCTCATGGATATCCCGTTGGTCTCTCTACGAAATGTTTGATTCCAGCAGGATGCTGCTCCTGCGCATAACAGCAGGAATGTGCGCCGATTGCATTGGATTTTTATCTATGGGGTGCTCTTAAAGATTTAATTTACAAAGGACCTGTTAATAGTAGGGAAGAACTAAGAAACAGAATAACAAATGCATTTGCAACAATCAAAAGAAGGGAAGTTTACAGTCAGTTCAAAAAATTCAAACAAAAGTACACAATTGTATTAGGGCAAACGGTAATATTTTTGAACACATGCGCCGAAATTGATGTAGGTATTTGGTTAAGTTTTTCAAGTTTTCATTTAGATAGGTACTTACTTCCTAGATTAGATTAGATTAGACTTTATTAGTCCTAAGTTTGTAGTGCTTACTCATATTCTATTCACAATCCATATAGTCCAAAGGTAAAGGTAAATTTATCAATTTTCATCAAATAGCACTAACGGTGATAAATTTTACCTTTACCTTTGGACATCGGATTGTGGAAAGATAATATAAAATTTTTGCAATTTTGGATAATTAGCTTTGGGTAGGCACTTAATTAAATGTAGTGTGGAGAAAATAATATTCCAGTATTATTTTTGTTTTAATTATTATTTAACTGGATTTGTTCCAAAAAACTGAAGAAAAAAAAAATTGCTAGAAAATAACCCAATCTACTTTCGACAAGAATAATGTGTTGAATAAAGATGAACCGATGCAGAAAGTTATGTGGTCGCCAGGTATCGGCACTTCGAACATTTTTACAATATCTCGTATGTTTTGAGGTTTATGTCGGACATCTCTCAGTAGACGGTTATGTAGTTTAACTGGCGGTTAACCAATTGATAATTATCAGTTAACCAACAGCCTAACTCAATAACCGTCCACTGATAAACCGGTCCTTAGTTTGGTATTTGTTTAATTAATGGCCATTTGCACTGCTATCACTTAAGGGATATTTAATCTATGTGGAGCTTAGAATGTGACTTTTGTTTCTACAAGAATCACATTCAAAGCTTCACTTGGATTTAATATCCCTTAAGTTATAGCGGTGCAAACAGCCGTATGTCGTTTTTAATTCGTACCTGAATAAATTATTTACCTACCTATTAGAATTTTTTTGAAAGGGATCATTTTTTGCATGCCTGAAATTAAATTTATGTTTTAAATAATAACAATTTAATTATTAAGTGCTTTGCATAAAATTATGTCAGACAGAAAATTTTATGACAAAAACAATGCGATAGACAAAGATGAGCTGGATGAGCATCTCCACACCATTTAGGTACCTACCTAATTTTTCCCCAGAAATATTTCTTCTATCAATTGTTGCAATACACTATTACATTTAGCAAGTCAAAAACTAACAAAAAACAGAAAAAAAGTTGAGGTCCGTATTTGAAAAAATAAAGTTGATGATGGTGACCCAAAGACGAAACGTCGGATTTTAAATTTGATGATACCATCTTGTAATGCAGAAATAGTGGCTACAATGAAATGACATTTACTTTTACATATTTCTTCAAACAAACTAAGAAAATTTTTTTAAAAAAAATTGGCAAATTTCGGTTTTTTGTATTTGGAATTTCTCAAATTACAAAATGGCGTTTTGTTAGGCATCAAATTACGCAACTTTGCCATAATTTAACCAACCTCGTATCTCTTAAGGTTTCCGATATCCCCATGCATGCACTCTAATTTGTAGCACCCTGTATATGATCATTGTCTCATTACAACAAAAGATCACTTATTGTTCCCACTAATTAGCCCCCCTTTTATTGATATAGGTAGGTAATTGACTAGTCAATAATTTAATCGAGTTATATCTAGAATCACGCAAACGCTTGTTTACTCAAATCACACATATGCTGCTCCAAAACTAACACGTTTTCCAATTGTTTTTTTCCCCATTCATCTCTTGAAGTGAAGTGAAAACTTCTCTAGGCGCATTCAGCACACGTTTCTGTGGGTACTGAATGAAGCTGACTACTGAGCCACCACGCTCTTCTATGTAACGCTCATTCGAGTACAGTCGGCTCGACTCGACTTCAGGCAAGCGAGAGAGAAACAGTTGTTACATTTTATTTAAAATAGATAAAAAAAATTTCCTTAAGCGTAATTTAATATAATATGCGTGTGCTCATATGGAAATGTGACATAAATTGTTGTGTTTCATACAGACATAATCTAAAGAATATTTAGCAAATAGAATTGAATCAAAAGTATTCATCACATCTTTTAGTTACCAGTTACCATCAAGCTATTGTTTCATCTTTAGAGTATGATACAATAAAGGAAATTAAGTTCAAATTGGGCAATGAATATTGAACACAAAAAAATACCGTAAGTATTTCATATTGTCGTTATATTATTAATCTTGCCTAATTGAAGTTTTCACTTCTGTGTGCACACCATTTTTTGTTTGTTTGCCAGTACCAAAATCTTGAAACTCAGGATTGAAACAGCCCCTCTCCAGCTCCTTTTTTTTCTGTTTCAAGCATGACTTCTTATGTAAGTAACACGATTTTTTCAAGAGAACTATTGCGTATGCTAGAGAAAAATCCACCACTAGTTTTTTTGTAGATATACACAACATATAGCTTTCTTTTTGGCTTGATGAAGGTATAATATTTTTCACAATAATTGGTATGGAGTTAATGACTGCAATAAAACTACCCATTGTATTCCCATTGTGTTCATGGCCGAGCCCTTTCAAACGCCCAGGTAGTTAAAAGGAGTCAACCATTTATTGTGAAAAAAACTTCACCTATTTTGCCGAAGAGTCAATCAAAACTGAGACATCGAAAAAGTAATTCCAGAGCACGAATTTAACCCTTGAGGCCTTGACAGCAATATTGTGGTTTTCATTTCAACAAGACTCTTTGTTTCATCCTCGGGGGATAATTTAAGAGACTTTAATAATCAAACTTTTCTTACTTGACCTATTTTCTCATTCAAGTTACGTAAGAAGTAAATGGGTATGACAACGATACAATATCTACTCTATTGTTTAATTTTTTTTAAATTTGATTAGCTTGTTCAATTTGCTTCAATAAGACGTTGCAAAATATCGATTTTCGAAAAACGGTACCGGTACCCTCTCCATTCATGGGACAAAACGCAAATGCATTCGCACATAAAAGTTGCGCATAAGGTAAAACAAAAGAATGTGCTACTGAAGAAGTAATTATTGATTATTGACCAATCGCCTGTGACAACTATAAAAAAAAAGTGTGTAGTATACATAATTCGTAATAACAAGAATAATTTTAACACTACTGATGTGCGTATGTGCATTATGGTTAATGTGTCTACTCCATTTCTAATAAGAACACGGTTAAACGAGCAAGACCTGAAGCTGACCATTCTTGAAGAAACAATAGTGCTTGTTTAATTAAGCATACATCGGAAAGACTAGTGTGGCCAGCACGTCATCAAAGCAGTTTCGCGCAAAGCAAAGCAATTCAGTCACTGTACTGTTCTCCAATAACTTGTTTCGAGCCGAACGACGCGACGTGTTACGGTTGACCCAGCGTATAATACGGGCGGCGTTTCATTTAATGGACCTGTGCTGATAGAGAGAAAGTTCAAAACTAATGAAAGCAACAGGAATTTGGCCTGAAAACGGGGAAAATGTCTAATTCTCTTTGCAAATCTTCTGTGGTGAGTCTAAGTTATTAGTTTTATTCAATGTTCCCTTTTCTGTATTCTTTAAATAATTATCTAGCTATCCTCTTCAACTACACGGCTGCGTAGGTATAGTCATAATAATTTCATCTTCACTCCATTTTTTGCTAGGTAGGTAGGTACCTACAGTAATTTAAGCATTCGAAAGAAAACTGCAACCAATCACCAATAACTTCATTGCTACTGAAACTGTATATTGGCATTTGCCATACTAAAAAACAATTGAGTTAAAATGCATTTTATATTTTACATAGGTAGGTATACCTGATGATCAAACTAAAAACAAATCTAACTTTCTAAACATGTAACGATTGTATCGTATACAATGGTAACTTGTAATGCTTTTATTAGTGAATCAAATAAACTTATTAATAAATTAACCCCTTTATGTGCTAATGGTGTTCAACCTATGATGTGTTTAATAAGGTTAAGGTCAGAGGAGGACTTTTTATAAGATTTCTTCTAAGACATTGCGTAAAGTGAACTTTCAAAAATCATTCAATAATTTCGAATCCCCTGTTACGCCCCCTGCGTAATTGCAACACATGTGCAATATTCTGAGGGTCTAAATGGACCTCTTGCATGCATTTTTTTTTATTTGCTTATTGGAAAGAGGAGTCAAAATAAAGCTCAACTGTATTTTTCTCAGATTTTTTTCGGACTTGCAAAGGCTTTAAATTTCGATTTGAAGTTCAAATTTCTTGGTGCCGTGACGTCACGGCACCAAATTTCTGATTGGTCAATTTTATTCAGTGTTGCCCAGATGTCAAGAATTTCATGTAAACTTTTCCTGGGGGCGACAACTAAATCGATATATCAAATTCACAGATTTGTAAGTATCGGATATGGAATCGATTCTCATCCCTATGGAAAACTTAACCCAACTTTTCAATTGATTATTCATTATTTATTTTTATTTATTTATTATTAGCTTCTCCAAAACAGACAGAAGGCAGAGAAGGCAGACAAACCATCAAGAAACAAACAATAAACCCGACCATAAGGCCATTATGTCGTTCATAATTGAATACCTTAGGTACTCATTTACTAGTGTGTGCTTCTAAATTTTAGAGGTTTCTACCTAATAAGCATATAAGGGAATCATTATTTGTAGAAGGTTGCTCTACTGCACCTGCATTTTACTAATACCTATCTACCAAGTACCTAAAGTCTGTTTTTTTTTTAAAGATAATTCCCCAAGTCAAAATCTTAGTAACTGCCTATGTTGGCAACACAAGCCTTTTCTACATAAAAAATTTGACAATTTTTCATTGTATTTCCAACATAATGTCATTTTGACTTTTATCTTTAAAAAAAAAAAAAAACTTCACCCTTCATGTGAATTTTTTTCCGAAAGCATTGGCATTATCTCAAGTCCTCCTGGCCAGTTCCTGGAATCGGTTTTTACAAACTCTTCCATCCTCCATCGCACAAACAAAATAAACAATAATTACCTAACTATTAAAATTATTATTATTTTTCTTAGTGGTTTATGGGAAATAAAACACGCGTATAATTTTTATCTGTCTGTATTCCATACCTTCCAGATTATTCTATGCTTCCAGTTTCCCTAAAGACCTTTTCAAATTTTCCCAGGCAAAAACATCATTTTTTTTTTCTTCAAATTACACTGCCCCCAGCCCCAGCCTGCTGTTTTTTGTTGTTAATTATTGTTTATTTTGTGATTATAAGTAAATTGGCCAGCCAGGGGTCACTGACCTACGGTAAACAAAAATCGCTTTTATCGTTTTCGTACTTTATACTGTGCCGGATTAGTGCAGATATCGATTTCTTTGTTTAATTCGCATTTATAGACAAGGAAAGAAAATTGTCGATACTAGTCGATACTTCGATTAATAGATGTCTTTCTCCTCAAGTTTCAAGGCAAAAGTAGAGCTGTATACCAAAGTCGATACGCAAAACGATTTTGATAAATATATGCCTCCTTTTTTGTCCGATGTGTTCAAAAAGAAAAAAAAATATTCGTTTGGAACATGGAAATTTGGCAAACCTTAGACAAACAGTGATTTTTGATTGGTGCAAAATTATACCGCAAAATTCAAATAATCTGATTTTTTTTCTTTCAATTTCTGACTCCGAGATTTTAAAAAAAATTACCCAACCATACTTTTATGTAGTACATCAAATACACTTTCGTTACAGATAAATTATATACCTAATTTTAATTGAGTGCAAGAGGTCCGTTTGCGGTAGTTTTTGACATATTTTGGAAAGTTGGGTCTGGCCCTAATTGCACAAAAGGTACGATGCACGTTCTTTTTTTTTGGAAACGAGGGATTTATAAAATATTTAATAATAATTAATAATAAGGGGTGTCCACTTAGTGCGATATCGGACGATATCTCCTTACAGGGTGATGCAAGAAAAAAAAATGAAATCACAAAGTTGTTTCATGCTCTAATATGCATTAGTTAAAAATATTTTCGAATATACAGGGTGCTCCGTTTATTGGGTATGCGAAAGAACTTTGTTATTTTGAATGGAACACCCTGTATGTGATTGCATATATGGATTCTACGTAAAATTCTGAGCAGATTTCATGTAATATACCCTATACCTAAGTTAAACTGTTTTGGAAATATTGACAGTTGAAAATTGACTTTTTGCAACTTTGACAGGCTGTAAAACCTAAACGGTTAATTTTATATAAGGCGTTTTTTAAACGTCCTTTTTCAATGTCTAAATATATGACGTGGGAAGTTAGTTGTAACATTAGCACTAGAGAAAAACGTCCATTAGACATTTTCATTTACTTTAACTGACGTTTTTAAAATGTTTTGACGTCCGATCGGATACGTTTTTCAAAGGTTCCTGTGCTATTGATGGACATATAAATAACTAGAACAGAGTCCTATGTTAAAACATTCAGCGCCAAAGCAGACGCCGGTACCACGAATGAGCATATAGAGGCATTTTGACACTGCGTCTGATTTTGTGTCTGTTCTCGCCACTTGTGAGACTCATTTTTCCATTTTTATCACAAATAAAGACACCTCAGTTTGAGTTCGGTAGCAACATATTTTTTCTTGGCTGGCCTGAACTTTGATTCGCACATTCGTGCCTTGACATATGTCACGGATTCCGCGGGTCCACTGAAACTATCTTTACTAACAACATAACTAATTAATTTCACAAAATCACTGATAGCTTTTATTTACTTTATACAACCGTTCTCTTATTTAAACTGGCTCCTGACATGCAAACGATGAGCTTCATATACAGAAACATTCAATCGAGAAATCTTTAGAATTACTTACCTAAATGCTTGTTCAATTAAAATCACACAATGGAATTCCTAAGCGCGATCGTTTCAACAGTAAACAATGGCTTTTCCGCACCAATGTAATTTCGCAGCCCTACCCACCATTCGAATCAGATCGTCATGCTCCGACCATTTATTCTTGGAATAAGCCTTCACTCTGTCCAGATGCAACACCTTCTCTTCGACGTCTATACCTCTACTCAGATCTATATTTTTGAAAATAATATCCTCTAGATCTAGATTACTTGCATTTTTTGGGACTTACACCTCAATTGAAATTTTTACCAGAACTTTCTTGAACTTGTGGCTGAGTTCGTTTATTGCATCTGCGAGCAAAAAAAGCAAATTTTGACGGACGTCACGTGATCACTCATCTTTTTTCGTGTGTCAAATCACGTGACATCTGTCAAACTTTGCTTATTTTGCTCCCAGATGCAATAAACGAACCCGTCGAAGCATGGGGGGGCTCACCTAAAAAATAAGGTGGCCCCCCTCACTGGTGAATAGTAAAAATTTCAATTAGGGTCCCAAAAAATGCAAGGTAATAATATAAATCCACCTCAAACATTCAGACATTTATTACTTTAGATCTATGTTCTTCGTCCGTCATACTCGTAATCATCTTCATCATCCAATCTATTCACATACTTAACATCCCAATGCCTGTCAGATGAATCATCTCTAGGATGCTTTTCAGTCCATCCAGGGTCTACCATACACAGGAACTAGGAGAACGGCCACCTGTTCTTTGTTGACTGCCATACTCCGTTCTCGGTCCGCTTTAAATCGAAGGCTTCTACTCTTTGCTTCTACCAGGAATTCTGTCACGCTAATCAATTCCGAGACCATTGGCGTATCCAGGATTTTGGTTTGGAGGGGGTCTCTGTTAACAAAAAGTGTTGACCAAAAAAAAAAAAAAACGCTGCGCACTAGTAAAGGACAAAAACAAAAATAGGTCATAAATTGTGACTAGTTTTATGTCAGCTATGTTTGGGAATGATTTACTAATGAGTCTAATGACAAATTCGGCATCCTCGCATGTTTGGGAGAGTGACGGACGCTCCTCCTCCTATCCCGCGTTTTCACAGCAGTTTAAAAATACGATTTTCAAATCATTTTATTTTCAAAAATAAGCGTTTTTTTGGAGAAAAAAAAATCATACTGATGTTATCAGAATGGCTAACAGATTAATTTAAAAATTTGGAAGTTGCCTATTTTTGTCAGAATTCACCTGTACCTAGGTAACATACCCAAATGTTACGCACCTATTCTTTTTTGCGGGGCGACAAAAATATGTTCGCATCGGGCCACTTATTCGCTTTATTTTGGTAAGAGGAGACATTTTGTTCACGGAGCCCCTCCTCTCCTGAGGAAAGAAGTATTTCGTACATTTAAGATGATTAAGATGAAACACTGATTCCCTTACTGGCCTTACTGTATTAGGCGCTCGCCATAGAAAAACCTTATTATAGAAAAAATAAATTTTATTTCTATTTTTTTTACAAAAAATATACATGTCATATAAAATACGCTGGAAAAAAAAAGTCCAGACTTGCCTTGGGGGGGGGGGGCTGCAGCCCGGCAGCCCCCCCCCCCCCTGGATACGCCTATGTCCGAGACAGTGCTCGCATTGAGCTGGACATGGTCGCCTGGATAAGATTATTGCGTTGCTATGCAGTTTGCCAGAATGATGTTTGGTTTGAAAGTCGTACTGTTGCAGCTTCTCTATCGAAGGCCGAGAGTACCAGAAGGAGAGCGAGATCTCAACCAAACTCTACAGTTACGTTTAAAATGTCCTCTCCTTCCGCAGCGTTAACATTCTTTGTCCCCTTTCAAGTTCCCTTGATTGATTCTGGTAACAAGGTTTTCTATTCCTTAGAAGTTCCCTCTTGTATTGATACAATTCTGATCTCTGGATTAGATATCTTATTAGGCGTTTCGATTTGTGGGTCTTTGATCAAAGTTTCACTGCTAATTGAGGGTTCGGTTATGAGCAGGTTTCTATGTTCTCTGTCGTACCTCAAATTCAATTGATGAATTTTGCATTGACGTCGCGAACTCTTCACAAACCCCGATTCAATCCTGCGATTGTTTGGAAAATTCTTGTCTATTTATATTCCGGTAAATGTCGCACTGTTATTAACCAAGTAAGCATCCATTAAATCAAAAACATTGAATTCCATAATTCCATTGTCCAAACTTCTAGTCATCGGGTATAAAAAGGGTTGATCAATGAGTTAAAGGACTACCTCTGTTATTTCAAGCCATAGGAGGCTGAAATATTCGGGGGCCCCCTCTCCCTCCTCCGTGCGGCGTGACAGATTGGGTAGAAGTCGCACTCTGTATCTTTTATAACGATGCCCTCTTCCTTAGAGCTGTTCGCCTCGAACAGCTTCCTGGCTGCATCCAAGTCCATCCACTCTTGCCTATGTATGGGGATAGACATTCTAGGTTTGCACTTTGCGAGTATGGTTCTTTTAAGTACCTAGTTGAATCCTGTACACCAATTCGTTGATCTATTTGAGGACCTTGTATGGTCCACCCCAAAGTCTTTATGATTTTGCTGTGGCTGATACCAGACGGCATTACCTGCAATGAACATGTTCAACGACTGCCGTTTATCGAGGCACATCTATTTTCAACAATGACGGATGTCTATCCCTCCCACTCTCTTCATGTCTTTTCGAGTCAACAACATTTTCAGTGTATAGTCGGTGGCTCCGTATTGAGGGCTTCTATAAGCCAGAAAAGAGGCACAAGTTTGTCCCATTCTCGCTGGTGGTCCTATCCGCAAGCATCGATTGATGGTTAATTGTGCCTCTTGACCAATTCGTCGAACTGTAGAAGAAGTGGTTGTTCTCATTCTCCTTATTCCCAGTAGTCTCATCAGTTATTTCCATATGTCAGATTCAAAAATCCTCCCCTGATCGGTAAAAGGTTACATCGGTACCCAGCACATAGTCCCCGATTGCTCATTAGCCAATCCACTAGTTATCTTGCCAATTATTTCACTAGTTGGCTGTAATTAATACACCATTATCGCCAATTCCACCATCTCTGAAACCAAATTGTCACGGATTCCGCGAATCCAGTAAAATTCTCGTGACTATAAAATGAACCAATTATTTGGCATTTTTAAAATGTATCAATTATTTCCAAGAAATTGGTTTATTTTTGTAGTAAGAAAAAAAACTTTAATATGAAAGCAGTTGATTTGTTCACAGTAGGTTTTTATCTCATTAGTGGGTCAATATTTACGGAGTGATTGAATTTTTCTGTCCGTTTATGATATAGGTAGTTACGAAATTGCCTCGAGAGCCCGGTCGCATTCTTGGAAATTCGTTATTTACATAGGGGCGCACGTCTTTTTTGGGAATTCTATTATATTCGATTCGATGATTTTCTAGATAGATCCGGAGTGCGGTTTGGACTATAAATAGCGCGTAGTAGTACTTAGGTATAGAGAGTAAGTCTAAATGAGAGCTTTGTTGTGAGCAGTTTAAATAAGAGTGGTGAGTTTAGTTTTAATGCTTGATACGCTGTTGTGTATACGATACGTTTATATAAGAGATAAGTGAATTTTATATAAAGTCAAATTGTTTAATGAAAGCTGTTACTGTTATTGAAGTGAGTTCTAGTGAACTTGGGATCCGCGACAATATTTAAAATTTTAAATGAAACATGCTGCATAATTTTATTTTTGCTCCAAGATTACTATAGGATGCCATGCTTGCTACAAGGCTATTTATAACCAATAACCCTGTATATAGGTACCTACCTAGTTTTTAATGGATGGCTTGTTTTTTAAAGGTAATTACTAACACATATTTTATTATCTTTTTAATAGTTCAAAAGCTATCAAGATGTGATCAGTGACGTAATCGAAAATGTTCGAGAGCATTTTCTTGAAGATGGTATTGATGAGGCTGTAGTGCAGGAACTGAAGCATTTATGGGAAACTAAACTAGCAGCCACCAAAGCAGTCGAAGAAGTAAAAGCAGTCGATAAAATTATTGGTAAAGTTAAAGACACCAAATTATTTCCAACAAGTTATGTTGTTTTTTTTTTGACAGCTGTTAACAATAAAATTCAAAAAACCCAGCAGCATCAAAACTATCTAAATCAATTAGCTCAACAACAAAACCAAGCCAAACAATTGGTCGGGCAAGTACCACCTAACAACCATATACCTCAGGGTATAGCTTTTCCAGAATGGAGAAGGGTGCCGGTTCAACTTACCATACCTTCACCACCTGGTTGTAATACTGATGGAGAACAACGAGTTCTTGGCATTGAAGTTCCTGAAGTATTCTTACAAGGTAAATAAGCATGTCCGTACAAGTTTTTTTTTTAATTCAAAAAATAATGTCTTTCTGTTGTAGATCATCACCTCAAATCTATTCTAACAGGGCCAATAATTAGCGCAACGCTGAATTTACCGCTTGACGCAGCAACGACATTTCTTCAAGATCAAGTGAACAATGCATTTCTAAAACATCAGCAATCTACAAATTTTATTAACATAAATATGGACAAAAACTCTTCTATTATTCAAGCTGACGGCGCATTTTGGACAGACGCGGAAGCTGATAATGGTCTCAAAAAAATATATAATAAAAATCGAAGGTCCAACTATACGAAAAAAAAAATGAGAATCAGAAGATCAAAATCATTCGAACTAAAACATTACAAAGAATTGCCACAAGATATTTCACAGCAGCCAAATAAAAAAATAACAATCAACTGCAAAGTTCTGAACCTCAACAAAATGCCAAAAATTTTCCAAGGAGATGGTATACATACTTCTTCAGACGAAGATGACTTAGATGACGATGATTTTGATGATGATGGGGATGACAGCGACGAAAATATAAATGATAATAATGCAGAGGATACTCAAGAAGCTGCCGAAGACGAACCATTGAATTCTGAAGATGATGTGTCAGATGCAGATGGTACTGAGGAATCTTTTGAAACTGAAAATGTTATTGTTTGTCAGTTTGATAAGGTAAATATACGTTTACGCTGAATTTTTAGTTAGGTTCCTGCCAGAGCAATACATTTACTATAATGTCATCAGTTTTCGTTGAACAAGGGGCGCATGGTTAGCGACGCAGATAAAGAAGGCTTCAAATTCACATAAAGCTGACAGCATTAAGCATTAGCCCAAAGGACCCCGCAATATTCAAATGGTTACCCGCGATATTTGGATGAAATTTTATTATGTTATTGATTATGCTGTAAGCAACATTTTTTACCATGGGCACAACCTTGTATATATTATGTCAAATATTGGAATTTAATATCCAAAAGCAGAGTAAAGCAGGACGCGCACTGAATCGACTCGGACCGGTCGACTCGGCGAAGAGCATTCGATAGTTTTTGATACTCATGCAATTAAATGAGACTCCGCGCACGGCATCGGACTCGTCGACTCGACGTGGTCGACTCGAGTCTCATTTAATTGCATGAGTATCAAAAACTACCGAATGCTCTTCGCCGAGTCGACCGGTCCGAGTCGATTCAGTGCGCGTCCTGCTTAACTATTGGCATATTTTGATGAACAAAGGAATATTTGACAGCTTTTTTTTTCTAACACCGCCTCACCTCTCACGCAAGGTTGTGCTCATGGTAAAAAATGTTGCCTAAGGCAACTCCAATTACATAATT